CAGAGAATCAACAGCATCCCGAACTGCCTTTTTGATGTTACTGAACAATCTTAAGTTTGGTGTGGAAGATGATCATCCGGAAGCAGTTTCTATGGCGAAGACACAAGCAACTCCTCACCCATTATCCTATTGCTACCCTCTTCCCAGCCTCCTGACTGAAATCTTCTCTATAGTCACTCAACAGCTCATGATAAAACCGCTCGTCAGTTTGAGAGAGGATAATAAACAGCAATGATATGCATCACTCTGCAGTGTCTGCCCCCGTTTCCTGCCCCGTTCAGGGATTGCTCTTCAAGCCACCTCTTGGACAGAAAAACAGAGAAATGTGCAACATTAAATTTGCTACTGGAAAGTGTGGTCACCTTGTTCCCCAGCATCACAATAACTAAAACCCAATATGGAGGAAGGTCTGTAATATTTTTGAAACTGCGATGTGTGTAACAAAAAAAAAACAGGCAAAGCTGCAATGCAAAACTTGTTGTAGATCTCAGACAGTTAATAAGCTAATAGGCTGATGTGTCTGCCCCTAAAGCTGGATAAATGAGATATCTGATTCCTTTGGTTTAATTCGTCAAATCTCAACAAACGCCTTATAAAAATGCACTGACCTGTGAAAATGCAGTATTTGAACAGATTAATGAAATCCCACAGTCGATATATGCAAACAAGGCCAGGAAAGAAGAGCAAACGTGCCTTTAACCGCATGTCATTCCCAGGGTCCTAGTCTGTAGATTTTGCTCCTTTTTTTTGTCAAGCTGAATAAAGCTGAACCACTGTTCTATTTTTTTCCGGCTCTAATCACTTCAATAAAAAGCCTGTGTGCTCTTTTATCAGACTGATATCTTATGAATTCAATAATACCCAACAGCTTTGTTTCCAACCTGTCTCATATGCGCATTAAAACACAGCCTCTCTTCATCCTTCCCATCAGTGTTGACATTTCTGCTACAGTTTCCATGGACAAGGTTGAAGTTCATGAAAACACTGAGGAAATGCCAAAAGGAGACATAAAGACTCTTTTTTTTGTCGATAAATCTGTGTAAAGGTTATTTATCAGAGTAAATGTTGTTTAGACTTTAGTTTCTGGCAGCGGGGGGATTAAAAATGAAAGAAGCTAGTTTAAGCTGATTTTTGAAAGTCTTTGCATGGGAAAGCTATCCAGCCCATCTGCACATTGGTAATGCCCTTGTCTGTCATGTTTTTTTCTCACCAGTACATGCTAATACATTGTCAGACAATCTGTACACAGTCACAGCTAGAATGAGTGATTGGATGGGTTAGAATAGATGTTTACTGCATTAAGGCCCAGTATTTAATGGAGAAACAGTCATCTTTTAACCCCGTGAGTGCTAACAAGCCGAGCCGTTCCAGCATGGCAAACGCGGAGAGTTTCCAATCAACCAGTGCTGCCAAAAATGCTTTTGAAAGATCTTAAATATTCACAACATTTAAAATCACCATAACAAAGTAGAAAGTGATTGAGTGTGTGAAAAATAAAGTGCAGGAGCAAATGCTGGAACAACATATTCAGAGTGCAGAAAATAAGCAAGTTTAACTCGGCAAATTGATTGTTGCTCATTGTTGCATCCGTGGTGTATACTGTGTCAAGGAGCGGTAGCTTGACATGTTAAGCCCCAAAGGCAGGAAAATTCCACTCCATAACTTATTAGTGAAATACTTTCCAGAATTATAATTCTAGAAGTCAACACATTTTATTCTATACAATTCTCACTATCAAGAGTGTTTACAGTTTCTCGGTACAAATGTAACATTGTGATTTGGTCTCACTCAGATTAATTAATTTTACAGTCGGTGAAAAGAGTAGACACCACACATTAAGCGCTTTGAGACGTCTTGAAGTGATAACGCACTATATCAAATGTAAGCATTATTATTAATATTATTATTAATGGTACTTGCCCAGCTCAAGCCATCCTATTAAGGTTTAAGGCCTGTACCGGTTCCTTCCTCTCCTTCCCACTGTCTCTCTTCTCTCCCCCCACTTTAGGTACCCTCTCTGCCTTCAAAACTCTCCTAATAATCCTTCTTTGATCTCACATGCTCCCACCTTGGTCAGTGCTTCACTTACTCTTTTTAAAGCACTTTTAGACAACCAATGTAAACGATGCTATGAGTGCACATTGTTGTTGTACGCTCCAAATCTTATTGATGAGCCAGACAGGCTAGTCAACCGGCAACAGTGCCTTGGATTACTCTGGTCAACGTGTATCTGATGCATGTCTTCTCAGAGCTAGTTTAACCAAAGAAGAAATGACAAGGGATTTAAAATGAATGAGATGGCAAAATCAGTGATGTGCGTAACTAATGCACAAAATTACTATCCCCCATTCCCAATACCTCAAAGTTTCCAACGACAGAAAAAAGGCAATGGCATTTGGACAAAGCAGTGTGAATGCAGGCTCGCTATTCTCAGCATTCAATGAGTTGTTGAAGGCCAACTCCCATGGGATTTCCTTTGGGTTTAATGATCACTAATACTTTCTTTATGCATTTTTGTTAAGTCTGAAAGAACTGAGCTAAGCTGCCCCTTCTCTATATGTCCATTATTGGGCTTCTAAATGTGTTTAATATCTTGCACGTTGACTAAACTTTTTTTTAAAAAAAAAGAACAATTGTACATAACATTAAATAAAAGTCTGGGACTGCCACTAGAAATTCTGTATATAAACCCACTATAGTAAACAGTACTATAGTTCCACTAGGTAAAGTTGTTCCAATGTACATGTGTTTGGGTTAATCATGATATGGAAAATTAGGAAGAAGTCATGGAAAATAATGAAGTAATTCTTGCCACATAGGACACGAGAAATCTTTTTGTGCCAGGGGATCGACATGCAACTGAACAAGCAGATGGGATAATGTCTCATTTGAAAAAAATATATAATTTCCAACAATGCAGCACTCTTCCAATACCACACTTGAGATAATCAATGTCTACATCATGGAGGGAAAATCTACTCTGACCTACTTAGCTTCAACCTTTGTTGGTGAAAATTCCTGTGTTGCAAATGTCATGGGACCTTCCAGGTGAATGATTTGCCACGAATTCAGAAGTTTCAGAAGTATAAATTTCTGCTTCCTCCAAGCTTAACGCCATTCCTACACTCAAAGGAATAAAGTTGAGATGTGGAACACGCAGATGTAACCATTAATCATTATTCAACACAAAGTTGTATTGAAGTTCTCTGGAACTCAGCCCTCTCTGGTGTTGGTCATTAACCTACTTATAAACTGCTTCAGAGCTAAATCGATATAAGGCACCAACAGCGACAGAAGGTTAAAATATTGTTGATGCATTAACAAATGTGATGTTCATATCAAAACAGATGCACAATAGAAAGTTCCAGCGTTGACCAGCAAACTGACGCCGAGTTTATAAATGAAGTAAATAATTGACTGAGAAAATCTCAACGTAAGACTTCTTGAATGTTATAATGTCTTGTGAAATATGAATTTTTGCAGCACACTTTGAACAGCAACTCAGACACAACCAGCTCAGGCTGACAGCACTAGTGTAGCACGCATTACAAATCCAATTCCGGGAATCCAACTCCTGCCCAGGTCAAGATCAACTAACTAAGCAAGAGGACCTCGTCTCTGGAAAAATGTCTGCTTATACTCCTGTCGTCACACTTAATATCAATTGCTTGTTGAAGGGCTTTGAATAGTTTTGATGCGGTAAGCGGCACATCAAATGCAAGAATATTATTCAACACATTTCAAGATATGTATCTTCTATATTTTAGTGATAAAATGTCAATCAATATTTATGGCATAACGAAAGAGAATAGTAGGCTAAACTTCAAACAAAGCAGAACTTTTTTCTTACAGTGACTCCTAGTAACTGAAGACTGATGGACATTTTAAAAAAAAAACGCCAGGCAGTGCAAAACCAGCGATTTGAATATATTGGAAGATAATCATGGTAAAATGCAAAGGCTGGTTGGATTACAATGCCAAAGCTGATTAAAACCTGTTCTGTGCAGATGTGCTGATCGGATAGGCTTCATAAAGAGGGATTTTCTCAGAATCAGTAAAGCGTCCTTACAGCCATTAATCAGCTTGCACAATGTGAATGTGCTGTAATTCAGTGATTACCAGTTACAATTTTACATTCATACACCAGTTAAGCTCTCCAATGAAGATAAATTCATTTTAGTCAAGGACTAAAACCAAAAGCTCAGTGTTCAGAAAGCGGTTGTGACTGAAAGATATCCGCTGATCATGTTCATTAGGTTGAACATCGGTTTAAGGATAAATTACAAAAAAATTGGCATTATGAAGTAACATGAATCATTTGTAATGATTATAGTTAAGAATATTGTACACAATGTTTTCCATTCTCCAAATCAGAGCAGTTTCTTTTTTTGTTTGGATTCAGGACTTTGATTTGTCTCTTCTCACCACAAAAATCAAGCTTCTTCCAAAATTTACTGATTGTAGTCTGGGTAACACGACTGGTAATTCTTTTTGGGCGGTGAAACATTTAGCTTTCGTTTATGCTTGACCCACCCGAACCCCCCCCCACCGCAGCACATACTCTCTCCTGGTGAATAGGCCAAAACAAAACCCTGCTTTAGGAACCAATTTGGTCACTCAATCCATGACTGTTTGTGGGACTCTGCTGTGTGCAAATGGATGCCGTGTTTCACCCACAAAGTCAAATTAACTTTGCAGTATATTTTGTGAGGCGCTTTAAGATGTCTCAACAACCTGATAAGGCGCTATTTCAAATGCAAAGATTATTATGAATCATTTTCTCAAACCTTGTTTCCCGATTGTCAGTTGCTGCCATCTGCCTTGACCTCCAATGAAAGTGATGCTCACTGAAATAATCTGTATGATTTGCATCAAGATTGATTTTGTGAGAAATAGAAAGATTGCCCCTTTTTTTGCTCCCACTTAAATCTAACCTAGAGACCGCACTAACTCAGTATATGCACGTGCAAGCCCTTTGATGATAAATAAAAGTGACAATGTCCAATTACAAAATCAATGCAATGTATTTAAGAAAAGATGGACAGAAAACAAACTAATAAGATGCTACAATAAATGACAGCTAGGAGGATCCACTGTGGTTGAGGTAACAAAAATCAGCCATACTCATTATAGGCAACTTCAATAGCAAAATGTAATAATAATCCTTGCATTTGCTATCGCACCTTATCATGTCTTCAAATTGTCTCAAAGTACTTTACAGTATATATTGTAAAGTGAATTGACTGTATATTTGTGGGTGAAACGCAGCAGCCAACTGCACACAGCAGTGTCCCAAAAACATTGTGGATTGAATGCCCAGTTTATTTTTGAAGGGATTATACTGGCAGTTTATACTCGGTTGTTGGTTGATTGGAGGATCGCTTTCTGGGGGTAATATCCCTCAAAAGAAAATATGATCACTCAATCCACAACTGATACTGCTGTGTGGAATTGTCTGCCATATTTCACCCACAAAATATAGTCAATTCACTTTACAGTATATCCTGGGAAGTGATTTGAGACGTCTTGATAGGCACTCCATCAATGCAAGAATTATTATTATTATAGTAACTACTGATCATTGAATGGCTGCAATGGCAGATTGAAGGAAGATATTTATTATGCACCAGGGGTTCCTTGTGCAATTCAGAGACCAAAAGCTAATTGGATAAGTCTACCAATTGCGATCAAGATTTTCATCATAGCTGAGCAACAACAACCTGCATTTATATAGCACCCTTCATCAAGGTAGTGTCTTGGAGCAAAACCAATTGTTTGAAAAAAAAGGAAAATGGTTTCAGTCTTGCTGCAGATTCTGAGCTGGTTCTTAGATGTTAGTGAGTGTACTACAATGCAAGTTCTCACACCTGAATGTTCATCACTCACGTCCAGCATTCCAGCCAAAAAGGTATAATACAGGGACTTAAAGATTGTTTGAAAACATTGCAACACAGATTTCAGGAAAGATTATAAACCACATGAACAATTCTTCAGCAGTTTATAAATGTCATTCACATTCCTAGTTTGTTGCAACCTCGAGCAAGCTACCTGTCATTCTTGGTTTGTTATAGCAAATGCAGGATTTATTTCCCCTGTTGTTGAGCAGTCTCACTGATCCACTGACCAAGTTTGGTAATACAATTGTGATGTCAACATTTCTTATTAACCATTGATATTAACTACAAAAGGCAAAACACTGTGGTCCTTCAAATTCATAATAATTTTTAAAAAAATAGCTAAAACGATTCTGACGTTGGATCACTGCAATGAGAGTATCAGCTGAGAGGATGAGCACTTCAACTGAAAATAGTTTCCTTGTTAAAAAGAAAACACTTGGCTCCAAATATTTCCAAAATTCTTCAAAATACTGGTTCTTCACATGATTCAACATACATTCAGCTCCCAACACTTCTGCAAGTATTAAAAAAAACACATAGCAAAACCTGCTCTATGTCATATGGCAATACATTCATTTTGTAAGAAAATCTGCACATTGTGGAATGCAGCGATGTCACTTTGGGTGAAAACAAACTCAATATCCAGCATAGATTAAAATGAGAACTATACCAGCAAGTTAAATTAAAACAAACTCAGAATGCAGATATCTAAATCATTCAGTTGGATCACTGCTTTTTCTTTATACACACACGCACATTATATTTATATAATATATAAAATACTCTTGTATATATTAGAAATATACATAAATATAGCCATGTGTAGATCTGTTAGGAATTAATTCTTCAGATGCTGAAATCTCATCACTTTGCCATCATGTATTAAACTCTAACCTTCCAGTAACAAACAAACAAACAAAAAGGCAATTTGCTTTTCTGGCTGTTTGTCAGGGTTCAGTACCAAGTTTATTTACTGGGCCAATTATAGATCGCTGTGAAAGTCACGTCAACAAGGAAGAGGAGACACAAAAAAAAAAGCAAAATGTACAAATCAGCTTTTCTTCTGTTCACCACATGCAAGAGGTGTTGAGGAAAATCTAAGAAGCAAACCAAATATATGGTTCTAAGGCAGAGCAAGGGGGGGGAAATCAGTCACTTGTCTTTCTTGTAGCCTCAGCTCCCCCCTTTTACATTGAAAAGTGCTTAGTCTTCGCTTCTGACTGCCACTTTGCACGCAGTTAGTCCTCTGAGTATGCAATGACTTCAGCATGAGCCATCTCATATTGGATTGCCTGTTGCTGAAGCTGTTCAATCTGATCTTCTGTGGCCTCTGTCGTATATATCCCCTGGACCTGAGCCATCGCAGCATCTGCTACAGCTGGGAAGGAACAAAAATATTCTTCACAGTAAGTTACCTGTCTTTGAGCGAACAACATCTTGGTAAAGCCGACACCAACAAAATCGGCTCTTACTAAAACAGGGCTCAAAGTTGATTTCACTGACAAAATACACTTTACAGTATATCATGTGAAGTGCTTTGAGATGTCTCAATGACATGGCAAGTCGCTATATCATTAGAACATAAGAAATGCTAGATGAAAAAAAAAACAAGGTCCATCTAGTTCACCTTCCAGGCGGTCGCATGCACATGTGTCCCAAACTACCTATGTACTATATATCCCATAATGTTATTTCTTAAAAGTAAACTATCTAATCTGTGTTTGAAGAAATCAACACATCAAATCCAAGGATTATTTTTATTGCCGGCTCAAAAGCTTTGAAGATTATTTTATGAAAGAATCTATTTACTGGTCACACTTTAAAACAACATTTTAATATTCGCTCATGTTCATCATGAGTGAATATTTGTCTAGAAACTTAACTTCCTCAGCACAGGTCTGATCCCCTACCTGTTACTGCAGAGTGAGCAGCAGCCTCCAACTCTGCTTGGGTGACAATCTGCTGGTCAGTGATTGGCAGATATTGGATCTGTCCATCATGGCTCACTGCAATCTTAGAAAAGATAATTTGACATTAGAGAATTGACAGACACTAAGATTCCACAAGTGCAGCAAATATGTCACGGTATTAACTCTTCAGAATAGTCTGAGACTGGTTTGAAAACACCCAAATAATGGGTCTCAACGTGGCTGACTCAGTATGGTTGTGTGTGCTACCACTCCCAGAAGTCAGTTTTCATTCATTGGCCTGTGCAATAAGTATCCTGATATGATTTCCCCCTGAAGCCGAGAGGCATATCAACGATGTGATAAGGCACTTTATCAAATGCAAGGATTATTATATAACTTATGGAATTACTATAAAAGTTACTTCACACTTTCACAGAAATTTCTCTGTCTAAACATCTTTCATTTATATAACGCCCTTTTAAGCGGGATCGTGTCTCAGAGCGCTTAACAATAGTGAAGCTTGACACCGAGGTGGGGAGACAGGGCAGGTGACCGTAGACACAGTCGAAGAAGAAGGTCTGAAGCAACAGTTATACAACAAAATATTTAATTAATATACAGATCATTGTGCCTTTACACCAAATTTAAAGAATGAATCATCAAATACTTTTATTGCTTCGCTAACTTAAATATTTTGACTCGAGTTTCATTGGATTTCACAGAATAATACAACAGGATCTTGAGCACAGGAGATAGTCACTCTAAATAAGGTTGCCCTGCTTCAGCTACACATTGCAATTGTGGAGTTAGTACCTGTTGTCCTTGCAATGCTTGGTGCACCTGGGGATCTGTTTCATATTGTATATGGTGGATCTGACCATCCTGTACCTGGGGAGAGAAATTGAGCAAATCAGTGGAGTACAGTATTAGCTGAGGAGCATAAAAAGAGATAGGTGTGTTTCACAGCCAGCAATTCCAGCTGAGCTCAGAATTAAATGATTGTGGCACTTAAACAGATATTTATAGGAAAGTACACATTTTGAAGTTGGTATTAATGAAATGTAGTAACTTCAAGCAGTAAATTACAACATAAGGTGAGTGGGTCAGGCAGGAGGCTTAAGGGGATTAAAAGCTCCCGTCAACACGCATAGCCCCCTTTCGTACACGGGGAGAGGACTAGAGAAACAAAATATCACATAAACCTACGCACATTGTCACATACTCTTAGATGCTGAAAAATGTCAGTATGCCTGCAGGGACAGTGCTTTTAAAGACTCCAAGTCAGTGCCTTCGCCTTGCCCCCTCCCCTGCCACCTTCAAGGCCTGTTTCAAGACCCTCCTCTTTGACCGCGCCTTTGGTCACCCTCCTACCCCTAGCCTCCACCCCTCCCGATCCCAACCTCCAGCTCGTGTCCAAATCTCTGACTGCCCTGACATCAAAGGCACTATACAATTGTAACATTATGGGATATAGTACATAGGTAGTTCGGGACATATGTGTATGCGACCACCAGGAAGGTGGAAGACAAACTAGATGGACCTTGGTTTTTTATCATCTAACATTTCTTATGTTCTTAGACTATAATAATTTGTTGTCAATGACCGATGGAGACAGTAAGGGGGTGGTACCTGTATATGATGACCTTCAGGGACGACCACATACTCCTGCGGAACAAAGTGTTGTACGCCGTCCTGTGAAATGATATATTGCACCTGCAGGGAAATGAAGGAAATGTCATGAAACGTCCTCCCAACGTGAAAGGCACTGTACAAATGTAATTTTATCATATTATTGAAATGTAGGCTTTACAGAAATAGAAACAGATCAAGTCTCTTGGAGAGGTAACTTTACACCCCTGGCTGTCCTGGTTCAAAATGCAAGACTTTGGGCCATTAAGGAATACAGCCTAGCCTTCAAACATGGTGGCAACACAATTATAGTTGAAGCCCAACCATCTAGACGTTACCTGGTTATCTGCTGTAACTAAGTGTTCAACTGTCTGTCCATCAGATGTTATGTGCTGGATGTATGTGGTTTCATCCTAATTCAAACAGAGAAATAAAGTTGACACAATTGTATTGAAAACAGTATTTGACCGAGAGATGGATATATACAACTCAGCCAGCTTGTTCACCTAAGGCTGTGGACTTAGCATTGCACCTACCTGGTCAATGATGGACTGTTCCTGGGATACTATAATATGATCCTCAGATAATGCCTGCTGCAGTCTGTCTTGTATAATCACACCAGGGTCTGTCTGCATAGCTGTAAAATGGATACAAGCAAGTAGTTAATTTTCTGTGGTGAGCAGAAGGCTCAAAAGGAGAGGTTACCTTTCTCATTGGATCAAATTCAAACTGGCTTACAAAATACTTTGTCCTAAAGACAACATTGTACCTATTTATGGACTTAAAACATTGGGAGTGAAGAAATTAAACTGAGCCAGATTTAGCTCTGTATTCGTGGGCACACTTCTCCCATTGTTAACACTCTTCACACTCATTGCTCGTCTTATCTCCTTTGATTATTTGCTGCAAAAATGAAAACAAAGGAAATTGGCTGCTAAATTGTTCTGTGCCACTGGTTTCTCTCCTCAGTAATCCTATACCAAGGAGCAGTGTTTCAACATGTGCTCAGGAGATCCAATGACAGTCTGTGTGAATAGAGAATGGAACAGTCATAAGTGCTTGTTGTGAAATATGTTTAGTCGACATTTTTGCATAACCCTTGAATGTGCTGAGCCCTTGTTAAACCACTCAGTAAATGAAAGGAATAAAATGCTGCCCAGTAGTACATCACTAGAGCACAAGTTTATTTTTTAAACAGGATTCTTTTTGCCATGCAGTATACATTCACTAGCCTGATAAAATAGAGTTCATTAACCAAGCTATGAATCACATACACAATGTAACAATTCCTTCGAGTTCAGAATTTAGGTTTTTATTTTACACGACTGTTGAGTTGAGTTAGTGGAACAATTTACAAACAGATGCCACTAGTGTAAGTGGTTTCTGACACCATGCTGAATGTTTCTACACTGCTGTAATGATTTGTGCACGGAACTGAATTAGGTTCAGCTCCACTCTAAACTGACCTTATGGGGTCAGGCCCCACCATATTATCCTGGCTCTTGGAATGCATTCACCTGGTAAAAGAAGGAACTGCCCTGTTTAGATCGAAAAAAATACTTGCCTTCTGTAGTAATTAGTATGTATACTATTTAAGGGTCTAACATACTAGAGATCNAAAAAAATCTTAATAAAAGTATGCAGCAAAGTTAGCCAACATTAGCAAACATCACACGTCACAAGGCCAGTCTATTTGGAAGCTAGAAACAGCATTATTTAAAAAAAGATATTTAAGCTGCAGCTTTGTATAAAGGGAACTTTAGTCAATCAATATGACTTGCTAAATTCATAAAGAGTCCTGTTTAACCTGAGTGCAGGCAATTTCATTTTGTACAGTGTGGAGCAACAACAAGATTACATTTGTACAGTGCCTTTCACGTCGGGAGGACGTCCCAAGTGCTGGACAGAGTACAGCATTTCAGGCCCGAGCTGGGGTTGGGGGGTGAGGGGAGGGAAAAGGGGGTGGCCGATGGCATGGTCGAAGAGGAGGGTCTTGAGGCGGGACTGGAAGGAGGCTAAGAAGGGGATGAGGCGGAATGACTGGGGGATGGAATTCCAAAGGTTGGGGGCAGAGTGCCTGAAGGCTCTCCAGCCAATGGTAGGGGGTTAGGAGGTCGCAGAGGTAGGGTGGGGCGAGGCCATGGAGGGCTTTGTATGTGAGGACCAGGATCTTGAACCGGATCCTCTGAAGGATAGTGAGCCAATGGAGTCGGGCGAGAGTGGGGGAGATGGGGTCATGGAGCTTGGTGCGGGAGAGGACACAGGCTGTAGAGGTCTGGATTATCTGCAGCCTGTGGAGGGTGGAGTTGGGAAGACCGACAAGCAGGGGGTTTGCATAGCAAAGTGAATGGGAGGAGTTAGTTACTGAACCCAGCACAGTGCCAGATACACAATGAGTCACTCATTTACCTCGGATGCCTCATCTCCAATCTCATTCACGTGACTGGACTCAGTAACCTTTCTAGGACACTGGGTACAGAGTAGAACATAGATGGGGATCACAGGGACACCAGTGGTACAGAGGGCCCATGGATATACTTGGTTACTGTACCTATTGTTTCGTCATCACTGCTCATAACGACAGCCTGTTGTCGCACCTTCTTCTGCACAGAGTCGGAATTGTGCAACCGCTCAATGTGAAACTTCAAGTGTCCATTTCGATTAAACCTATTCATTTCCAAGGGGGGAAAAAAGATAGACACAGCTGTGGAAACTTGGGAATTCAATTAAACAAACACACACAATAAAAAGTGACATACCTTTTTAAAAACCTCTATTGATATTTAAACATTATTTTCTATCATGATCAGTTGAATTAGCCCCGTTTCTTTACTGCACTTTAAGAGGATTTGCAAATCAATACCTCTTACAGCAGTCTTGGTCTATTAGTTACTGTAATTCATTGAAGATCATCCCGATTAGGTTGCTGGAAAGTGAGTAAGTCTCAGTTAAAAAATTGGCATCTGGTTACATTTAAGCAAAAGGGATTTCATAGTAAAGAACTGTACGAAACTGTACGGTATTGCTCTCTGCTCAGGACTGAAGTGGTCCAGGGTCCTACCAACTAATTATGAGGCAGGACAACCCGTACAGACCATTTGATGTAGCGCCTTTTATGTTAGGAGGATGTCTGAAAGGGTTTCACAGAATTTAAAGTCTGACAAACAGCCACAGAGTGAGTGACCAATTGTATCTGGAGAAAGGTTGGCCAGGACATTGGGAGAAACTCTGTTCTCTTTTTGAATACTGCTATGGGATCTTAAACGTCCATCTGAACAAATGGATGAGAGCTTGGTTAGAATCTCGTCAACATTGCAATGATCCCCCAGCACTATATATTGGAATATTAGTGTAGGCTGAGTTACATATCCCAACTTGGGGCTTGAACCTACAACCTTCTGACTCAGAGTCAAGAGTGTGATCCAGGCTGATATCCTGTAGATAATTAAACATGCAAAAAGTGCACTTCAATCTTTTCATATCACCACTGTTCAGCTGGTCTTTATTTTCAAAATAAAAAAAAGCATTTTAATGTGAATTTTACCAACTACTGCAATAGAAACTAAGCTCCTGATGAGGGCACTACTGTACTTACCAAGGACTATACTCAAGAGCCACCACCAGTAAGAATTTGCCTTGTACTACAACTTGGAATGCAGATTACAAACTGAAGGTTTTGAGACACTAAAGGCTGGTTAACCCATGTCGTATACCTTGCAAATGTTTCTTCCCCGAAACCATACCTACTTGAATATTTAAGACAGAGATAATTAAGTAGAACAATCTCAAAATGTAATCCCAATTTCTGGTTGCTGCATAAACAGATCAATCGAAAGTCAGAGGAACAAATTATTGACCATTTATGTAGCCAAACAGCTGTAAAGCCACCTGGGAGAAAGGTTTACCTCTGGCCGCAGATGTCACAGGCAAAAGGCTTCTCATTTGTGTGTGTGAGTAGATGACGTCGAAGATCTTTCTTATTCTTGGAGGCAAAACTACACTGGTTACATTTGTGAGGCCGCAGATTGGCATGCTGTACCATATGATTCTGGAGAAGAGAAACATGGCCAAACTAAATAAAGTGCCCACAACTGTGTAATTGAAATTCTATGCAGTGATGGAATTAATCTAGTAGACAGATAAATTTCAGGGTTTCTCATGTTTAAACGCATTGTAATAAGTGGCTTCAACCAAAAACACAGTAACAAAAAGCTCTCCACAGCTGCTCAATCAATAAGCATTTGTTACTCCGCCTATCACAATAACCAAATAAAGTGTACAGAACAAGCTACGTTTATTTATAAAAGGAGAATTTAATTTCAATCGGGTCACAGGCTGTAATTAAGGAAAACTCTGACGGGTGGCAAGAGGATACATGAGATCTCCCTGTTAGGTTGATCTTTTAACCAAGAAGATGGACAGGTGCCTTGATCCTAAATCTCAAATGGAGATGAGTTGCGTAAAGAACGTAACATGTGTACCCGCTGTCAGATATTTCCTCCATCCTTCTGTGAAAAAGTATGGTTTCAATCATTGTATCCTGAACATCACAGCAAAATATGACGGGTTCAGTGGACCCACTGGAATTGGAACCCCAAACACATGGTACTAATATCCTCCTAGACTACTTTACCAGTTGAACTAGTTGGAATCAGGAGGGGTGCAGGGCAGGTAGGGGTAGGAGGATGACCAAAGGCATGGTCAAAGAGGAGGGTCTTGAGAGGAGGCAAGGCGTATCAGCAATAATAATAATCATAATCCTTGCATTTGATATAGTGGTTTATCACATCGTTGAGACATCTCAAAGCGCTTCATAGTATATACAGAATTAACTGTATATTTTGTGGGCAAAACATGGCAGCCAATTGTGCACAGCAGTCCCACAAACAATATCTATGTGTTGAGATAGTGAAGGCAGCCTGCAAATCGGAAAACAGTTACGGATACTTACTCGGACCTCTGGCCAGGTGCTGGCCACAAAGTTGCAGTCAAGGCATTTGAAGCCCTGCTCCCCTGCATGTGCTCGTTTATGACTCTCCATCTCCGCTCGGCCATGGAAAGAAGCAGTGCAGATTTTACACGAAAACTTTTTCAGCGATGACTGCAAATTCGAATTAATTGGAGGAGACCCAACCTCACCAGTGAACTATGAAATAGGAAAAGGACATTTATTCAACAAAACAGATGCCTACAGCTACCCCTATTGGTGGTTCCCAATCAGAACAGCAGAAACTCATCTGGCAAAGAAGCCTTCACTGATTTTGCGATCGCTTTCTGGAGCTCCCTCTGTCTCGCATCTTCCCTTGTTTTGGAAACTCTTTGACAATAACAAATTATGTTTGTACAGCGCCTTTCACTACAGGACTTCCCAAGGCACTGGACAGTCAAGGATTTGGACCTGAGCATGGGGTTGGGATCAGGAGGGGTCAGGGTGGGTAGGAGTAGGAGGGTGACTGAAGGTATGGTCAAAGAGGAGGGTCTTGAGAGGAGGCAAGGGACGGAAGGAGGCAAATATGGGATGGAGTTCAACTTTTTTTAACCTTTTATAAATAATAATAACTCCTTGCTATTCCCCTACTTGTTACTTTGTTCTACTTCTTCTCTGTAAAGTTCTTCGAGATGTTAATCAACATGCATGTTGTTCTTGTTGACTAACTACTGATAATAACTTTGGAAACTGTAAACCTGATTTGTATTCACCATCAATGGTTCAAAACGGGTGACATCCAAATTTGACAACTGCAAAACTCTAAATGCTAGGACATCTTCAACATTTACTCTCTTTATTTGATGGAATGTATATATCATGATCAGTGTAATCCATCAATATCACACTGTTCCTAATGCAGAAACCAATGAAGTAGAGAGGATCAAGATGCCCAACATACCTCAATCTGTTGGAACTGATTCCCCTGAAGGTCTGTGGTCATGATAAAATGGCCATGGTATTGTTTTAATGTGTCGCCACTCACCACCACAGTGTGAGCCACATCTTCACTGCCATCTGAACCACTGGTGAAGGCGAAAAAAAATCAACCCAAGTAGGTTAATAAGATTCCACATTACACAAACTTTTTCTCTTAAAACTTCAAAATACTTTATGGAGACCTTTCCCAAGGTCATAGCATGCTACAGTATTGTAAACTGACCAAGCAAGAACAGAACTATTATTTAGTGAACTTTAAGCATTTATTTTGCCCACAAAATATACAGTCAATTCACTTTACAGTATATTCTGTGAAGCACTTTGAAACTCTCAAAAAAGTGATGAGGAGCTATGTCAAATGCAAGGATTATTATTGTTATAGTTATGCTACCTGTAAACGGCAGTGTCCTGCTGAATTTCTTCACTTCCTTGAGTTACAATGTTATACTCTGTGCCATTGGTGAAGGGGTTGATGGGGACCTGTGGGATTTCAGAAGCGTCAATAGTTGTGGTTTCGTAGGCTTCCTGAACCACAGTCTCACTTTGTTCATCCACATGCAAAGTGACGACCATGTGTTGCGGTGACATTGCAAACGGCTCCTCCTCCGGATTCTGTGATTCTTGGGAGGACGGATCCTGGGCTGTACCATCAGACTTCAACACTGCCACCTGAGTAACGTACAACAATTAGACAACACTGAATTGGAGCATCATCATTTCACATCACATGGCCATAGCAGAGCAAGTGTTGGATATGGAATATTATTGCCGGGGTTTGCCAGGATACATAAATGGAGAGAAATTCAATCAATCTAAATTAACTATTTATGGAGAAATTTAGTGTGTCCAAAATTTGGGAACTCCATAAATCCAGGCTCAATTTTGAAGCCAGTTTTCTGCAGGATCGTTAAAGAAACTAGAAACAACAGATTCCAGAGTATACTTTGCATTTACTTTTTGTGTTGGTTGATGTTAATACTTGAAAGTATCAAATTCTGAACACTCTGAAATGCTGCAATAAATAGTGTAAACCTAGGCCCAAGTGGAACTCTTCACCATAAATGGGGCAAATAACTTTCTGTACCTGCATAGAGTTGCTGACCAGCTCTCTCGGGGTACTCATGTTCAGCAGTAGGTCCAGTGCATTCTGTGCTGCAATTTCAGAGGATTCGTTCGTACCTGCCAGGTGAGAGTTCGTATAGTTATTCAATACTTTATAAGTCTTAATATTGGGACAAGAGATTGCCTGCAATTCACTCAGATATGGTGAAATTGCAAGTAGAAACTTATACCCTAACTGTTCCATAGCACAGCAGTGCCCTTCTGCAATCCAAATTTCACACTCACATTTAACACTCAAGATAAATAATTATGTCTAAAACCAGGTTATTTTGCATCTCATTTAGTATACATAAGGTCAGTGGGATTATGTGTAAATTAGGGGAAACAGACAACTCCTTTATAAAGCAATTCTGCTTTTACACCAAGACAGTTCTGTTATTCTCTACTTCTCTACAAAAGAAACAACAACTTGTATTCATATAGCCCCTTCAGCGGGCAGTGTCTCTTAATGCTTAACAATGGCAGAGATTGACGCTGAACTGGGGAGAGGTGTCCGTAAGCACAGTCAAAAAGGAAGGTTTCCAAATGTGATCTGAAGATGGGCAAGGAGGGAACAAGGTGGAGAGATTGAGGCAGAGAGTACAAGTTTCGGGGCATAGTGGCTGAAAGCATGGCCACTGATGTTGAATAGGATGGGGCGAGTTGTGGAGAAGGGGATAAGCAGGTGGAAGAAATTGGAGGATGTCTCAAAGCGCTTCAATGCTACTGAGCTAATGTCTCATCCGAAGAATGTCACCTCCAACAATGCGGCACTGTTCCAGCCTAGACTGTGAATTCAAAGACTATGTGGGGCTTGAACCCACAACTTTCTGACTTGGAAATGACAAATCTACCAACTGAGCCAGGCTAAATGATCATAAAAGACCTGCCACAAGCTAATACAATGGTGGAAAAGGGTCGATAGGATAGTTTCTATGCTGTAACATTCATTCCACGATTCTACGATACAATCTTACTACAAAGGAAACACAGATTCAACAGAGAGAATACTTGTTTTGGAAGATACTAGCATTAAGTTACGTACCTTGTTCATAAATAATAGTAGCGGTTCCTAAAGAATCCGGGTTAACCACAGATGCTGGAACTGTCTGGTAGGTCAGGGGAACCTATTAATGTAAATGCACAGAATTTTCAGAAACAGACCGAGTTGAGGATGGAAACAATTCTACCATCTCCGGTAAGAAAGATAAATAGCAAATATTTTGAATCAAAGTGCTTTTTGCTCTGATGATTCCATTTAACTACAATAAAATGGCTACCGTGGAGTAGTCCATTGACAGCAATGTTATTGTAATTGTCAATTTTCGCCTTCCCGCTTGATGACCAGTATTGTGAAGTGCCTATAGAGATGGCAGTCTTTGCACACGAGTGCAGAAATACTGAGACTGACAATCGTGTCCTCTTATCGCACTGGTTAAGATTTTATTGACCCCAATTTCAGCATTATAAACCAAGCTCTATTGTAATCCAGGCACATTGTACAGTTATGGCCAAAATACCAAATAAAACCAGTCATTGCATATACTCCAGGCCCCAAGTTATGGCATATTCATTATTATTATTATTTGCTGAGTTTTTAACTATTTCACTGTATATGATGCAGTGTTCACTATGAAATGGGAAAAGTTTAGAACAAATGTTAGTACTATCGGTTATAAACAATTAGCTGTCATCTAGATTAGCCCAGAAAATCAATCTCGGAGTTCTGCTGACATTCATAAACAACAAAACCCTGCTTGTAACACTTCTAGTAATCCATCAACAGAGCACACACACCAAGCATAACTGCGATGGTTTGAATGAATTTCATTTGTCCATTTACAAGACTAATAGCGAGTAAATGTCTTTTGACTCAGAATCTTCATGGTGAGATGCGCTACAAATATAAAGACAGCTGTAAAATGGGGTGCAGAACAAATTCAATCATAATTGGGAACTCACATTTAGATTAAAATATAATCACGATGACCCTTACATTTGACATACATTTCACATCGGGGGACGTCTCAAACAGGATACACCATAAAGTGGAGACTGTGTACTTTGTAGGCAAATGGACTAAAGAGGGACATGTACTCACAATGGCATCTCGAATGCTGTCCTGCGTAGACTGCAGCTGATCATGCTGCTGTTTCAATTCTTCAATTTGCTGCAGAGTGAAGAAGGGACGGCGCCCTCTGGGCGGCTCTTCAGGATGCGACTTCCCCCAGTCCTCATAATGCTCCAGGTGCCGGCACTGAACGTGCAGCCGCAGGTTCTTCTTGTGTTTGGTGTTGAAGTGACAGAGGTCACACGAGAACGGCTTCTCACCTGCAAGGTTTGTAATAACAAGTGAGTCATCGTTTCATAAGAACTGATAGTTCCCCTCGAGTAACACCTCTGACATAGTACACTAACCGAATGTTTGGAGAGAATACCATGTGGGAAATATTCCTCTTAAGTGAACAGAAACTCATTCTCATCACTGGATTATTTAATTGAAAGTTCCCTGCTAAACTATGGAGTCAATGGTTAGAACACTGTTATGTTATACAGTGATAACTCATCTCCAATACAATGTTACCCACATTCGGTCCATCATCAATCAATTCACACCTCATATGATCCTTAAATCACACAGAATGAATAATTTCCCACTTCTCTTGGTAACACTACCAATCATACAAACGTGTACAGGAAAGAGGTGAGGAAGAAAAATAAGCTTAAGAGATTTCATCAAAATAATATTCTAATGATATATTGTTTCAAAACATATCAAATACTATATCTCGAGTTTATTGGGTACAAGCTTAACAAAAAGCAATCTTTTCGCATTGATCTGAGAGCAATCTGGCTTCCTTCCTGAATTTCAATCCAGCACTGGAAACAAATTCAAAAGCTCAGTGCCAGTTGGGGAGTATTCACTAATTTAAAGCGATAACTGACTTAGGCAGGGCTTTCCTGGTCAGGCAACCTGGTGCAAGAAGTCTTCAAGTGATCTTATCTTTGAAACAAAAACGCAGAGAAAAAAAAACATTCAATGATGCCATTCTCTGCTCTTTGCTCTGCAATTATTTTTTCCGATTAGAGAGGAGAGAAAGCCAATAGCAAGATGTCACAGAATATCATTCAGCAAACTCACCAGTGTGCTTAATGGCAACATGGGATACAAGGAAATCCTCTTTTGTGGTAGAATATTTACAGTAATCACATTTAAAGGGTTTATCTGTGGTGTGCGATAGCTGATGATTCAGGAGCATCTTTTTGTTCTCACAGATGTAGTCACAGAATTCGCATTTAAATCTAATAAAATAAGCATTGAACATATTAGTACTGTATCACAGAACTCAACATTCAATCGGAGTTAAACTGCACGTCAAGTTTTTTTTTTCCCCTGAGGAAACAGTAGCAAACTGTTCAAATGAGCAATATTGTCTTCCATGAAATTGATGTGCACAAAATAATTTTAAAAATAATTTAAATGAAAGGAGGAAAAATATATGCAAGCAATTAAATATATTATTGCCTTATCTAAAACCTCATATTTCTCTTGATTTTAATCTTAAAACCACTGTCCGCTAATTTAAGATTGTTTAGAATTTTAGAAAATTCTAAGTTCAGTTTAATTTAGAAGCTAGATTTCCGCAGATCTTGAAAGGAACCTTTTTTCTAAAATTCTGCATGATTTTAAAATGTTAAGAACATAAGAATTAGGAGCAGGAGTAGGCCATTCGGCCCCTCGAGCCTGCCCCGCCATTCGATAAGATCATGGCTGATCTTCAGACCGAACTCTAATTACCTGCCCTATCCCCATATCCCCAAATCCCTCTATTTTTAAAAAAATCTATCAGTCTCAGCCTTGAAGATGTTCAAGGACTGAGCATCTACAGCCTTCCGGGGAATTTCCATAAATTCACCCTCAGAGTGAAGAAATGTTTCCTCAACTCTGTTCTAAAAGGCTGACCCTTAATTTTAAGACTGTGACTCCTGGTTATAGATTCTCCTACCAGGAGAAACAGTCCCTCAGTGTCTACTTTATCAGCCCTTTAAGAATCTTATATGTTTCAATAAGATCCCCCCTAATTCTTCTGTACTCTAGAGAATACAGCCCTAGTTTATTCAGCCTATCCTCATAGGTCAGTCCCCTCATCCCAGGAACTAACCAAGTGAATCTACGCTGCACCCCCTCTAGGGCAAGTATGTCCTTTTTTTAAATAAGGAGACCAAAACTGTACACAATACTCTAGGCGCGGTCTCACCAAGGCTCTATACAGTTGCAGCAAGACTTCCCTACTCTTGTACTCTAAACCTTTTGCAATAAGATATTTGCCTGAAAGTTAAAATCATAAGAACTGCATTTCGCCCCCAAAATATATAGTCAATTTACGTTACTCTTCCCTTCACAAGCTGCAGATCATCCAAAACTCATGTACCCTCGCACACCAGGCTCCATGACCCAGTCACTTCCACCCTTGCCCGGCTCCACTAGCTCCCCATCCCTCAGAGGATCGAATTCAAGATACTCATCCTTATTTTCAAGGCCGTCCATGGCCTTGCCCCCTCCTACCTCTCTGATCTGCTGACTCCCTACCAACCTGCTCGCTCCGTCTGTTCAGCGTGCTCTGGCCTGCTCCACGTCTCCCGCCCGACCATCGGTGGCCGAGCTTTAAGCCTCTTTGTCCCCACTCTGGAACTCCATCCCAGTCCCTTCACCTCGCTTCCTCCATGGCCTCTTTTGAAGCCGGTCTCAAGACCCTCCTCTTCGATCGTGCCTTCAGTCGCCCTCCCAACTCCCTGCCTTCCCTCACCCCCTACCCCATCCCTCCCCCATGCTCGGGTCCTAACCACTGACTGTCCAGCACCTTGGGACATCCTCCTGACGTGAAAGGCGCTGTATAAATATAATTTTGTTGTTGTTACAGTATATTCCCTGAAGCACTTTGAGACGTCTCAAAGATATAATGTGCTATATCAAATGCAAGTATTTTTATTATTAATATACAAAATGTTGGGCGTCTGGATTCCTGCATGAAGTACATTTACTAACAGCAGAAATGCAGTAAGAACATTTAGAAAGTACAGCAGCTCCCTCTATTGGTGAAGGGGATAAGAGAAATGTCCCTCCCCGGCTATTGCACTGATTCTGAATTTGCCAGTTCTAAACCCATTCGTAAAATTGCGAGAGAGAATTGATAATAACCTTTCAATTTATATTGTGCCTTTCACATCAGGAGCACATTTCAAAACGATTCAAAGTATTCACTCTAAAGTGTCATCACTGTGTATTGTTTTGGCAAGATCACATTTGGTGTCAGCCTCACTCAGTTGGTAACACTCTCACTTCAGAAGTGTGTGGTTTCAAGCCCTACATCCGGACTTGGAATCCATATAGTCTAAACTGACGCTCCAATACAGTCCCGGAATGTGCTGTGTTGTCAGAGGTATCGTCATTCAGATTGAGACGTTAAACTGAGGCCCTGTCTAAGATTGTGGGATACTATTTGAAAAGAGAAGGGGGTTTACCCCTGTGCACAAATTAACTGCTATATCAAATGCAAGGATTATTGTTATATGAAGTATAGCCTAGTGCAACAGTTCTAGCTTTCAGGGTAACTCACTTTTCTCTCTGCATTTAGTTACTATCAATGAATTAAACCTATTTGTTACTGCGTGGGTCAGAGTGCTCTGTGTTCTTTTCAGTATTGAGGTTTACAGGTACCTGAACCTTTTTTTTGTTGAAAACAAATTAGTCAACAGACAGTGCTTCTCGGTAAAGGGTAACTTGCTCGTGAATCAAGCTCAGCTCATCTTAGCAAATATGGTACCACAAGACATATGTAATAAAGCCAGGCTTACCTGCTGTTCCCAAGAGTTTGAATGTGAGTTAATAAATGCATTTTGAATGTGTATCTCTTCTTAAAAGATTTTCCACACTGTAAAATATATATAAAAATCTAAATATTCAAAATTCTGGGAGCATGTTAGAAAGGCAATAAAACCAGAGAAAACAGAACATTACCAGAATAATACTTGTTAGGTGGGTGGGATAAACATTTATAGTCAAATGAGAGATTTTCAATTATCTATTTTAACATAAGAATGAAGAAAGAGAGCTGTTGGGTAGAGGTGGGAATAGTTAAGATATTAACACTGTAAATCACATGAGACAAACTCCTCTTACCTTGTCACACATGTGCGGTTTCTCTGCACTGTGGGTTTTCAAATGCTGGGTCAGTCTCTTCTGCATGGGATAGACACGGTTACACACCGGACAAAGATAGGCGCTCACCTTGGGCACCTGCAGATAAAGTCAAATCAAACAATTTGAGCATCTCGATCTTCAATGAGTACATAATTTCACAACAACACTGCTTTTGTCGGGCTATTTAATCACCTAAAAGACGTACATTTCAATATTGAAAAAAGGGGACATAAAATTAGGATCACAGAGTGAGCCCACTAAAATGAACTGTTAAGATCCTGACCTGCAGCACGACCAACATTTACAACACTTCTTAGCTTTGATCAGCAGAGGGCAGGAACACTCCATTTCCCTTCATTGAGATCACATTCTGAAACATCACCCACTGAAGGGATTGGGACAAGCTGGGCTCTTCAGTCTAGAAGAGACATTTCTGAGAGGACCTTATAGAGATGTACAAAATTTTAAATGGGGGATTGAAAAAGTAAACCCAGAACAATATTTTAGGATGCACTGGTACTTTAGAACAAGACAACATGGTTTAGAGTTGCAAAGAGCAATTTCAGGACAAACAGGAGGTTTTTCTTTATCCAGAGGGTATATACATGAGTATGAATCTTAAATAGAACAGTGGTCAAAATATCCAATGCTACCTTATACTTTACATAATTATGGTGAAAAAACCAAACAGAACCATTGTAAACTCACTACCGAATGAAATCTCGCTGTTTAAGGTATTTTCTCCTACTCTTGCTTAAAAGTTGCTGTCTCAAGCAGATATGTAGGAGATACGTGTACCAAGCCTTCTCAAATGTCACTGAATTCAATTTCAAATAATTACGTGGTTGCACCCTAAAGTGAGATAGCTCTCCTTCCTCACAAGGAAGAGCCTGGCTTTTCCACCAGGTAGCGAAGACTGGAGACCCAGGCAAGAGACTTGTGTTCTATCAATTCAGGGGCTAACATCTTACTCCATGGAGCAGCACATATAGCACTCGTGGAAGGGTGGAAAGAGAGAACTTATCAAGCAAAAGCAGAGTTTCAGGGAGAGAGTTCCAGAGTTTCGGGCGTAGTGGCTGAAAGCACAGCTGGCGATGGTGGAGCGGAGGGGACAAGGGACATGCAGGAGGCTGGAGCCAGCCGAGTGGAGGCGATGGGTAATAATAATAATAATCATCCTTGTATTTGATATAGTGCTTTTCACGTCTTCTAGACGCCTCAAAGCGCTTCACGGAAAATGCAGGTCGGAGAGGTAGGGAGTGTGAAGCATGTGAAGGGATTTGTAGATGAGAAGAGCTTTGTAGACAAACCAGGCTGCAATGTGTTAAGTCACAAGTCTATCACCCATACATCACAGGCATACTCCAGGCAGTGATAGTCCACACTTAATAGCTTGAACTATATGGACGTTCGAGTCTCTAAAGCCTCATTATATTTCTTGCATAAATCAAATATTTAAGTGGAGGTACTTACTCGCTTCCCTTTAACATTTGACTACCATACATGTCCGCTTTAAATTTTGTAAATACTTATCATGGACTCACCAAGTCAGCTTTCCTCTTTCTGTAAAAAATCAGAACACATGGATAAACATTTGTAGGTACAAGTGAAGCAAACACATTTTAGGCTGCTTTGCATTCCAAGTAAACTGATAGCTAAATGTTGTCATCTTTTTCACAAAATCTTTATAATAATAACGATTGATTGCATTTTGATATAGTGGCTTATCGCATCTTCAACTCTTCAAAACGTTTCACAGAATACACTGTAAAGTGTATATTTTGTTGGCGAAACTGCATTGTAGAGTTGGATAGTTTATGCCAGGTACAAAAACTTACATTGATATAGCACCCTTGAAGCAAAGGAGAGTCCTGAGCACTTAGTTTGAATAGTTGTTTTTCTATGTAGATTCTTTATGGATGGGTCATATTTTACCTTTGTGACCACTGTATTCACATGCAAAAGGTCTGTCAATTGGATAGCCAACACCAGGTACGAGAGACAAGTTCTTTGACAGAGGGTGAATTAGTTTACATTAGCAATGTATAGCTGCCCCCAGTGCTTCTTCTACAGTCCACCAATGCCATGGGAAGATGGAGGTTTCCTAAAAGCTAGGCTTTATAATATAATGGAGCACCGCCAAATGTTAAATAAACCTCGAGGTAAAAGCAAAATACCAGTGATTCTTGGACTCTGGCTTACATACAGGCAAAAGTAGGAATGTGAATGTGGGGAGGGGAAAAGGAATGAAAATTCTCTTTGCTGTTTATTGTAGTAGCTGTGACTATAACTGGATTTGTCACATTTATAAGAGCACTACTGTTAGCAGCAAGAGGAATTTCTTACCATCATGTTTAAGACAGAATTTGTGAAGAAACAGCAGGTAGTGCATCAATGATCATTACACAGCAATAATAATAATCCTTGAATTTGATATAGCACTTTTCACGTTTTCTAGACGTCTCAAAGCGGTTCATAAGATATACTGTAAAGTGAAATGATTGCATTTTTTGTGGGCGAAACGCGGCAGTCAATTGCACACAGCAGTGTCCCATAAACAATCATGGTTTGAAGTGACCAATTTATTATTGTTTTTTTCTTGAGGGACTATTATCAGGCGTGTGGAGTAAGGAAACTTGCCCAAGGTTTCACCCTGTTGGGAACCCAGGTCTCTCCCTTGCGAGGCGAGTGCTCTAACCACTGAGCTACAGGACTCCACTGTTCATACAGTACCATTCATCTTATTATCTGCTCACTTGAAATATAAACTTTTGCTTCCTTATCCATTAAGCATCATTATCACAATATCATAAGTAATCCACAGCATAACACTATTCCCATTCTTACCATACAATCCAATGGGACCGCAATATTCTATGGTGTCAGCTGCTCTGTAGCCTCAAGTCTTCATTTAACATATAATTTTATGTTTAAATGCCTCAATTGCAAAGGTCAACTCATTCTGGAGTCTTTCTGTACACTACAAAATTTGCTGGATTGAAGTTATTTTGGATTAGTGCTGAGGAAGATCAGATTGGTTTTGAATTGAGTTCATTATCCTGTGCTTAAAAAGCCAAAACGATTCTGCAATTGGAACTGACATTAAATGGGGATTTATTCTAATACTGTTAAATAAAATAGGATGCTTAGTGCAGCTAAAATGATTTAATTTGATGCTGAATCATGTGCAAATGGACACCCTCCTAGTTAATAAGAGGTTTCTTTATGGAGACATTTGTAATATATAATTGGGGCTTCAGTCATCAGTTTGCTTAATAAAAATGACAAATGGGCTCATATTGGGACCACTGTTGTTTTTGATCTATATAAATGACCCGGACTTGGAAATTGTACTCCCTATACCAAGTTTGCAGATGATACTAAGTTAGGAAAAGTAGTAAATAGTAGCATAGCAGCAGACGGCAAATGGACATAGACACACTGGTAAAATGGGCAAACACGTGGCAGATGACGTTTAATGTGGAGAAATACAAAGTGATGCATTTTGGGAGGAAGAACGAGGAGAGGCCATATAAGCTGATGGTTGAATCTTAAAGGGGATGAAGGAACAGAGAGACCTGAGGGTTCATATAAGTACATTTTTGAAGGTGGTAGGACAGGGAGATAAAGTTGTTAAAAAGGCATACGGGATACTAGGCTTTATAAATAGGGGCATAGAATACAAAAGTCAGGAAGTTATGATGAACCTTTATAAAACACTGGCTAGGTCTCAGCGAGAGACTGTGTTCAGTTTTGGGCACCACACTTCAGGAAGGATATCGAGGCATTGGAGAGGGTGCAAAGGAGATTTACCAGAATGGTACCAGGAATGAGGGCCTTCAGTTATCAGGAGAGGCGAGAGAAGCCGGGATTATTCTCCTTGGAGAAGAGAGGTTTAAGAGGAGACTTAATAGAAGTTTTCAAAATTATGAGGGGATTCGAAAGGGTGAAGGAGAAACTACTTCCACTGGCGGGTGGGTCAGTAACCCGAGGGCACCGATTTAAGACAGTTGTTAAACTGAGGGGAGGTGAGGAGAAATTTTTTCTCACAGCAAGTTGTTCGGAATCTGTAATACATTGCCTGAAAGGGTGGTGGAAGCCGATTCAATAACAGCTTTTAAGAGAAGTAGATAATTATTTGGGGAGGACAAGTTTGCAGGGCTATGGGGAGAGTGCGGGGAGTGGGATTGAATAGCTCTTTTCAAAGAGCCAACACAGACATAATGGGCCGAGTGACCTTCTTCTGTGCTGTATAATTCTATGATTGGTTGAGACGCATTTGAGAAATTTAATACGGGTTCAATGTTTCATTATTATTGTACAATAAAATTATATGCAAAGAGCATTTTAATGTCAAATAAAAATATAGAAAATCAAACAAGAATAGGCAAGTTAACCTCCTACACAACCTTTGTGTGAAATGTAGATTTGTTTACCTCTCCTTGGTGTGGACTGAAGAGTGCCTGAGGACATCCTTCTTGTACACACTTGTATAGTCACATTCCTCACATTTGTATGGCTTTGTTCCAACATGATTAAACATGTGCTCCTGTTAACCAGATGAGAAATTAGATTATCATGAAAGACAAAAAATGCACTAAATGAAAACTTTCCCATCAATTTATTCTTAAAACAAAATCAACTAAAATTTTGCTTCAACTCTCAAACTGCAAATGTACAAAAATACATTTTCCAAGTGTCCTCACAAAACAGAAAGGTAACAGTGAAAGAGGTGGAACTAATATGTTTGATGGGAAGGGTTTAATGTGTGGCATCGCAACCTTAATGCAACCAATTTTAATAATAATTTCTGTAATCAAGATCTCATCAATTTGTGGACTTGAGGCTAGCCTAGATTCTTAAAACTTTGATTAAAATGAAGTTTAAATTAAGATTAATAATAATCCTTGCATTTGATATAGCGCTCATCACATCTTCAAGACTTCTCAAAGTGCCTTTAATTAAAATTAAATTGTTTGATTTCTATATTTTTATTTGACATTAAAATTAAAAAACGGCAGCCAATTGCACACATCAGTTTCCCACAAACAGTCGTGGATTGAGTGGCCAAATTATTATTGCTTGTTTTTCTTGAGGGATAATTATCAGATTATTATAATACAGGGTGATTTATCCATTAACCTGGGTGACACCTTGTAAATATAAATAAGAAGTTCTTCTGCAGAATGTGATGCAGATCCAGGAAATTAGGTAAAATTGCAGTGAATTTAAATTTGAGACTTGGTTTTGGGTGATCAGAGACTGTCAGGAGATGATTTCCCAAATAGAAATATTTTTAATACTGAAAATTAGACTTGGCTCAGATAACTCAACAAACAGAGCTTTGAACACAGTACTGCTTTAGTTACACATGTGCATAGCTCTTCTCATGCTTGTTGAATGCAATTTTGCAGAATATTAAGGACTAATTAAATTTCCCACTACTAATCATTCTGCTGCTGAAAGTGAGAATCCATCACTAGAGCAGGACAATTTTGGTACTGAAGACTATGGTTAAAGGAAATGTAACAAAGAATGATTGATACTTTAGCTACCTTGGAAAGGAGATTTAAAAAAACTTGTTGCTCCCCTTTTAAAGTTCTATCTCCTATTATATTTATCATTTGTCATTAATAGAAAGTTGAGATAACATTCTCTCAAATCAGTTTCAAACTCCACAATCATCCACTACCTTGAGCGAAGACCAACGCTTGCTTCTATAGCTGCACTGCAGGCATTTGAAGCGTTCTGGATCATTCCCTTCATGCGAATCGACATGGAACCTCAAATCTTCTTGGGTCAAGAAACGGGAGCCGCAGATGCGGCAGTGGTGTGGTCTCATCAAAGGCTTGCTCGACCGGTAGTAGCTGTACCTTTTAACACACAAATAAATTTGCAAAGTTGAATCTACAGACTTTGGACAATCAAAATTCTGGATTTGTTGGGAGTACAATATAATTCGACAAACTGAATTTGAAACCTGAACTTGAAATTTAATACTCCCTATCCAAATTGACAAGATGCACTCACACAGGTACAATGTGGCAACATGGGCATGTCACACACTCACACAATAATATGCATTTTATATAGAGCCACTCACGCAGGTTAGCGTCTCAGAGCTGAGAGCACACAATGCAGTATAGCAGGTTACACTTGCGAGGCCTCACGAATACCACTGTATTGCTTGAGTGGTCATAAAACATGGGTCTTAAATTATTTTACCTTCGTCCCAAATATCCTCTATATTTCCTTCTGCCGAACCGTTTGGGTGGGCGACCTCGTCTTCTTAAGGACTTAAAAGAAGACTCTCCAGTGTTAGACGAAGGGTCTTTGTTCTCAGAATCTGACTGGCTGATCCCAGACTCTGCTACTATCTCACTGGCTCCTGCTGGGTCCACAATCTCCTGGGCAGTCGAACTGGCTGCCTCACAACTCTGTAGTTCTGTTGAATTACACTGAGAGGTGACCAGTGCTTCCACTTCTGCTCCTGTTTCCCCAGAAATAAAAACAAATATTTTTAATATTTTAAATAATTTTTACCAGTTATGGCCTAACAGCGCTTCCTACAATTTAAACTAGAACTTCACTTTGTTTATCTAAATTTGCTTCAGTCCACACATGTAAGAAGCTAAGCAACTGCTGCAGAATTAAGTATCTTTTCTTTCTGAAGATCAAGTAAACAGCAAACAACAACAACATTACATTTGTAAAATGCCTTTCACGTCGGGAGGACGTCCCAAGGCACTGGACAGTTATGACCTGAGCTGGGGTTCGGGGAAGGTGGAAGCCGGGGGTTAGATTGAAAGCACGGTCGAAGATGAGGGTCTTGAGATGGTCTTGAAGGTGGCAAGGGAGGGGGGAGAGGCAGAGGGACTGCAGGATGGAGTTCCAGAGGGCAGGGGCAGAGTGGCGGAAGGCCCGCCCGGCAATAGTGGGGAGGGCGAGGCGGGGATATGAAACCAGCTGGAGCCCGCTGAGTGGAGGGAGTGAACAGGATGGTAGGGGCTAGGAGGTCACAGAGGTAGGGGGCAGCGAGACTGTGGAGGGCTTTGAAGGTGAGGACCAGGATCTTGAACTGTATCCTCTATGTGATGGGAAGCCAGTGGAGTTGGGCAAGGATGGAGGTGATAGGGTCACGGAGCTTAATGCGGGAGAAGACACGGGCTGCAGAGTTCCGGATGATCTGCAGCCTGTGGAGGGAGGAGTTGGGGAGGCCGACAAGCAATGAGTTTGCATAGTCGAGCGTCGATGTAATGAAAGCATGTATAAGGGTTTCGGCGGCCTGCGGTGAGTAGTGGCGGAGCTGGGCAACATTGGGGAGGTGGGGGAAGGAAGAGCGGGTCATGGCACAGATGTGGGGTAGAAAGAATAGTTGAGGGTCAAACTGACTGGCTTAGCAAGGTATGCAAGGCAAACCTTGTTAATTTCCCCACTCTCCATTTCCCTGCACGAGTTACGAAGCAGATAGAAGCCACAGATTCTAGTGTTGATATTAGAATTGTTTACGGAACTGGTTTAATCAATGTTGCTCTGATGCGGTCAGATGAAAAGCAGTGAAATCACTCGGCAAATCTATCCTACATTGGAAGTCTAGATCTCGGAGGGAAGAATGGGGTCTGAACCCCTGAAAGATCAAAAGACCCACCAACATTTTATCATGAACTAATTTTTGACTACGTTTTGCACAACAGCGGCAAATCAGAACCTGTACATAAACCGCTGTTCATCACCTTCAGTCCCAGAGATCTCTGCCCGCGTGACCTTGCGAGGTCGTCCGGGACGTCTCCGAGGCCTATCGCTGGTCGAGGTTGTGACGTTGCGGTGGTAATTGGGCTGTCTGCCACGTGTCTCATCCTCTGCTGGGTTGTAATCACTGTCAGCTGATGACAGGATAAGAAAAAGATTATATCCTTGGTATGAAAACTTGATACGATGGGTAACAATTTCTATTTTATCAGTTAGGTACTTAACAAATAGTTAAAGCCATGAAAATACAATACAAGATGACATTTGTAAAGCACCTTTCATGTTTGGAGGACGTCCAAAGCTGCTGAACAGTCAGGGATTAGGACGGGGGGGGGGGGGGCGAGGGGTTAGGATCAGGGAGGGTGGAAGGCAGAGAGAGCTATGTATATTATATTATATTATACATACTTTGCCATAAAATAACCATATGTTATGGCAAAGTATATAACATGTAAAGACTATTTCCCCAGTATGTACATGGTAGCCTTTTTGCACGGTCCATATTTAGATGACCAAAGTTGAATACTTTACAGCTTGGTTGTACTGAAACATGGTGGTTAGATTGAGCTCAGCTCTACCTAGATGTCTGTGGTAGAACTTTTACTGCCATCTGTTTCAGTTGCTGAAAAACAGCTTTTTTTGTATTGCACATGAAGTGTCTGGTCATCAATGTTATGTATGTACCCCATGTGCAGTACATTTCCTAACTGGCAGCTACTGAAAGAAAGGCAGTGGGATAGGAAAAAAAGCATAGGAAGCAATATTTTATCCTGTTCCAATACAAATGCATTTCTTATCTAAGAGCTAAGCTAAAAAGCAATGTGAAACGGGCTGCGCAAGCATGGAACACAACACGTCTGATTTATTTACCCGCAATGTTACTTGCATGTCAAGCGGAATGAAAATGATTTGTAAATGAAAATGCCTGGGTTGTAACAATGAGCTATGATGGTACAATGGAGAACAGTATAAACCCAGTACAGAAATACATTACCCTCACGGTCATCAATGGCTCCAGCATCCACAATGTCATCATCTTCTTCCTCTTGTTCCAGCTCCTCAGTTTTGTTTTCCTCTGGCCTTGGAGATGTGTTCTGCTTTCTTGGCCGCCCTCTACCTCGCTTTTTGCATAGAAAACCTCCTAGGAAATAAAACTTACAAGTCAAATGGACGTTTTATTTCAATCTATGAGTTTCATAACTCGGGCCTTTTTCTGCAGAAGGCAATAAAAGTAGGATAATAATAATCCTTGCATTTGATATAGCGCCTTATCACTTCATTGAGAAGTCTCAAAGCACTTCACAGAATATATTGTGAAGCAGACGAGTTGCATTTTTTGGGCGAAACACAGCTGACAAAGTCACCATTGTACAGCAATATCCCACAAACAGTTGTGAATTTTTTTTGAGGGATTATTACCCCCAGAAAGCGATCCACCAATCGACTAACAACCGGATGATAGTGAAGGTATTTGAAGAAGTTCTGCTTTACCCTGGGGAGTCCTGGATTATCATTGTTGTATATTATACAAACACATTCCATTTTATACTTTTGCTAGTAGGAAGTAAACCTTTTTAAAAATAAAAACACATGGTACTGGCAGACATTGGGAGAGTGCACCTCCCAATCCTTGTGAGCATGTAATAGCTCATGGAGAATCGATAAAGTGGTCCCCAAAAAAAGGGGGAGATATTGTTCCGTAAAACTGTGTTGGATTAACAAATTTTCTTGATGACAGATTACAGCAACAGGGTAGGAGCACACAAGTGTGCGCTGAAACTTGGATGGAACCTTACCATTAGTTAGATGCCGATCTTTCATGTGATTGATCAGGTTGTCCTTGGAAATGCTCTTGTACGGACACATTTTACACTTGAACTGCTGAACCACCACTACCTCCATCATGTCTTCCAGATTAGCCAGGTCATGCTGCTCAAGGTGTTCTGCACAGGTAGATGTGGGTCCTTCTGCCAGCCCCTCTGCTGACATGTTGGAAAGCCTGGAGTTCGACATCTGTGAGTCAGACATCTGAGAGTCAATGGGGCCATCTAGAGAGGATATAAGAATGAAAATAAAGGATAGTTGACTGCTAAACATGGTTCAAATAGTCAAGACAACTCTTATAGGTTCCAAGGTCATGATTCGCACAACTTTAAACGGAGTTTTACAAACGTGAAACCACAAGCAAACAACAAAATAGCAATTATATACAGGAACATGGGTAGCTGGTACCAAGTAGTGAGCTGGAAAAGAATCAACTTGTCATCATAAATTGCAGCAATGAAAACCCAGGCAATGATCTCATGTAACACAAAATTTCATATCAGCAAATCAGGGAGAGCTAAAGGTTTGCAAGTTACACAGTACTAATTACTATATACTTCACATTTATTTATTATCTAAAGCTCTTTAGGCAAGGTAGAAGATATAATCCTCCTACTCCAATAGTTCAAATTTTCAGGGGATTTTAGAACAATAACAATCCTAGCATTTGATATGACGCCTAATCATGTCGTTCAAAGCAATACTGTGATTTTACTGTGAAGACTTTTTTTTGGTCAGCTGAGTGACACATGTGGAAACCATCATAGTGCTTAAGAACAACCAAACCAGACAGAGAGTTCTGCGCATAATACCTACTAATGGAGATTCCTGTGCCTGGGATAGAATGCATGCTCTCTCCCCGAGGGACACATGCTGCTTACCAATTCCAGAAAGTATTACACACAGGTTGGCAAGACCCAAGGTTTGGAGACCCTTAAGTGTGCGTTGAGGTCCAGCTGGAGTTCAATCAGCTAAAACCACCTTGAAAGCACTGTGCGGGGACCTTCCCACTGCTTGTCCAGCTAGGATCACTTTACCCATTAGAGCTTTGACTTGCAGGGTTAACAGGAGGCGAGTGGGAAGAATCCCTACCATCCACTTCTAGTCTGCCCCTCCAAATTCTACTGATGAGCCAAGCTGCCTGGTCTGTCATCACCAGGCGTACTGCGGACCCAGTTCAGCTTCAAAGAAACTCCATTTGCCTTCCCCCACTCCCAACCCTCAGCCCCCTGGAAAATAGTCACCAGTTAATAAATTCGACAAGCCCTCATGAGGTGGGTGGCAGGTACAAAGAATTCCCTGTGAAATGTAGCAACTGTATATTTTTAGGCAAACTGAAAAAATAACTTGCGCAGTTACTTTCTCACCATCATCCGGGCCTGGTAGGACATGATACTGAGTGGTTTCAGCTCCTTCATCCCCGGCACTGGTCACAGCGATGCAACCTGAATAAGTTGGAAAACATTCTCATCAGGAACAAAACGGAGCAGGAAACTGCTTTATAAAACACCATTTTTGCTTTTTCATCACATTTGAGAAATTGTAAAACTTGACATTATGCAATGTTGATATCCCAAGTAATAATATCATTTAAAATTATAATAAACACAAGAAATTTTCAGAAGTCTGATTGGCACCATTCTGCCTTCATTGAATTGACAGTTATCTCCTTGCACGCTCCTGGGCACATTAACATGGCAAAAGGTCTTGTACAACTTTACTGCACTTTTAAACCGCAGTATGCATTGAAAACTATTTCCCTAACTATAACCTTTTCTGTAAGTTCAAAGAATATACTGCAACTTTTAAGTTCTACATTCAATTATTGGGATAATCTTATTCACATAAACAATAAAAATCCCCCATTTTCTTTCAATATTTATTGTTAGTTCCCATGCAGCAACTAAGGTTAGAAGGAGCTGATTAAGCAATGGACCAATTTTTTCTATCCCTAGTGAATATTTCATTCCACTCTTATGGCATTTCCTTAAAAATGAAACAAACTTTGGTGTAAACAGTACATCGTTAATGAAGTATTAAATGTTGTTAACGGGGACCGCTAAAACAAAATTCTCACTAGGATATAGATATACAGTAAGATTTCCTGTATAAGTAATCCCCATTAGCTGTAACTCTGCTGTGAAACCTAGGTTGAAGACTCACTTTGCAAGATGTCAGGTCCAATCGTAGACTCTATAATTTTGTCAATAGCTGATCCGAGGTCTGAAGAGGTGGACGCAGTTGAGTCTGACACTATCATGGTTCCGTCTGACACTACGCTGGAGTGGACCAGCACCTGAGCAGATTCGGACACTATGATGGACTGTGTGACAGTCGAAACACTGGAAACAATGGTAGACTGAGCAACTGAAGAAGAGTCTGGAAGATTGGCTATGGTAATGACATCAGTGCTCGAGCTGGTCTCAGGAACCAACTCCTGGAAGAGAAGAGAAATAAAGAAAATGACATTTAGAAACAGGAGTAGGCTATTCAGACCCTCGAGCATGTTATATAAGATCATAGTTGATCTGTACCTTAACTCCAAATTACTCACCCTTACCCCATATCCCTTGATAGCCTTATCTAACAAATATCTATCCACCTAAGTCTTGAAAATTCGAAGCAATAACAGACTTATCATGGATAATGTTAGGAACTAATTCCCAGAATTTAAAATCAGCCTGGAATACTCAGTGATTGATAATTAGAACTAGTGCATTTTGATAAACTATTTTCCCACTCCATTACAACATCTCTCAAAGGCATCTTTCAAACTGGGCAGATGGGACAGTTGTGTAGAAAGAAAACATTTTGCTTCCTGTAATATTAACAGGTCTATATGGACCCGTTAATGGAGTCCTGTAGTTTAGTGGTTAGAGCACTTGACTCGCAAGCGAGAGACTTAGGTTCGATTGCCAGCAGGGCAAAACGTTGGGCAAGTTTCCTTACTCCACATGCCTGTTTACCTAGCAGTAAGTAGGTTCTTACTCGATTGGCGGATCGCTTTTACGGGGGTAATAATTCCTTTTAAAAAATTCATAATTTGTTCACTTAATCCACGACTATTTGTGGGACAATTGGTTGCCGCCTTTCACCCACAAAATATACACTTTACAGTATAATCGGTGAACTCTTTGAGATATACCATAGACTCTTCGCAGCTCTGGCCGACACCAGAGTCAACTCCCGAACTGTTATCGGGCTGGGACACCATGCCTGGGGTTGTTACTGTGTCGCTGCTGTCCGCTGATACTGCTTCCGAAGTCTCCACCACCATTCCGCTCTCAGAGGGTACCTCCTGACCCAGGGGAGCAGCATCACTGCTGCTCTGTACTGCGTTCTCCTCCAGATCCATTGCACCTCCTGGTGGGAACAGTCTGCTATACAAATCTCTGCAAAAAAACACAAGGGCTCAAGGAATCATCTAATCAGATAACATTGCAACTTCAACAAAGACCACATAGGTTGGACTTTATTTGTCGTTATATACTTCAAGAGGCCATTAGATGTTCAGCAGTCATTACATTCAGGTTTTACTTCCAGCAATGCAATCACAGCCTCCAAAAATCTATGAATGTATTAGGTATTTATGTGACAGTTATAACATTTCATTTGGTTTACTGCTACTGCCAGTAGATAATTTCAGTACAGTAAACAATGTGCTGGTGGCGTTTCTTCCAGATCAAGACTGATCTTTATGTATACTATAGTGCCAGGTGAAGATTGCACATTGAATGTGATGCAACTCGGACATGATCAGGAAAAAGTAGAGAACTTTCAGCAGTAACTAAATTTTGAATCGTGCTTGGCTGAAAGTAAGATTTATTTTTTTAAAAAAGGTGCTAAAATGTCCCTTTTACTATGCTATCAGCTAGGCAGTAGAAAAGTTAAATAACATGCTGAAAGGAGAAACCTCTTCTTAGAACCCAAATAACCATTCTAGAGATATGTAGGATAGCTGTGTACTGTAAAAATGTTTCATAGAAGAATACTAAATTTAGCCTAAAGTTCAGGACACAAAAGAAGGCTGGAACTTCACAATTCTGGAACTTCAGTATTTTACATATCCTAACATTCAAACTCCAACATGGGAGAAGGCCTGTGTTTTTGATGGAGATGGCATCAGAAGAATTCATATTGTAGTGTATTTTCTACTAAAACCAGGAAAAAAAGCATGCTTTTTTTGTTTACTACAAATTGTCACATTACCATTTCCAAGAGTTGTCAGGCTCTTTTATTTAATATAAAAAAGTCTTAGTATCTATTCTACACGTAGGAATATGATAGACCAGTGTAGTCCAACCTTTTGGCTGCTGAGGGTTGCATGTCCCTATTGCAGCGAGACTCACCCTGAGCTGGACTCTGCAGAATGTATGCTTGTGACCACCTTCACTCTGCTGACAATCCCTGCAAACTGGAACACTGGGCTCTCCTTCCATCCATCAATTGCATCCTTCTAATTGTCTGGGAAATGTTTTGAATAGTTTTCTTTTGGAAATAAAATGGTTCAATTGTCTGTACAGTATTTAATAAACAACGTGCAATTATATAGCATCCTTTACACCAGTAGCGTGAGTGCTTAATAGTAGCAGAGCTTGATGCTGAGCCAGGGAGAAGGTGACCATACGAACAGTCAGAGGAAGGTTTTCATGTGTGATCCAAAGTTGGGCAAGGTACAGAGATTGAGGCAGAAAGTTCTAGAGTCTCAGGGCACACTGGCTGAAAACAGTCACTGAGGGTAAAGCAGAGGAGATGAGGAAGCCGGAGCCAGCTGAGCAAAGCGCGGCGGGTAAGGGGACTGGGACGTAACCAGGTCAGAGAGGTAAGGGTTGTACCAGGTCATGAAGTGATTTCTATGTGAGTGAGGATCTTGAAACTTTTCGTTCCCTCATCTCTAAACCCCAGCATTCAAATTTACCATTTCATTTAATAATTGAATAAGTTCAAATAAAGCTTGAAAAACGCAAGCTTTCCACAAAATGACTAACCATGATTTAAATTCTGCACATTAACAGGCATTCTACATTGCCGCAATTTTTTTTTAAAAAAATCAGGATTTCCTGTCGTAAGCAATGCAACATTTTCAGTAACCAGTAATCCAAGCTGGAAATGATCATCTCAGTCAGAAACAATTGTGCCAGATGGAAATACTGTATTCCATTTCAAAACATCAGAGCAATGTCTTTTGCATTATGTAAATGCCACAAGGAGCAAGATGTTTCCTTAACATATTTTTAAAAAAAAGTGAAATGGTAACATAGCAAAGAAACACACAAAATCTAATTTATTTCATGAAAAACAGAGACTTTTACTGAAAACAGCAATAAAATTACATTTGTATAGCGTCTTTCACATCGCAGGATGTCCCAAGGTGCTGGACAATCAGTGTTTCGGATCCGAGCTGGGGTTTGGCATCGGGGAGGGTGATTGAAGTCACGGCCAAAGGAGGGTCTTGAGATGGGTCTTGAAGAAGGCAAGGGAGGGAGTTTGGCGAAGGGACTACAGGATGGAGTTCCAAAGGGTGGGGGCGGAGTGGCTGAAGCCTCGCACCAACAGTGGGGTGGGCAAGGTGGGCGAGATGAAGCAGGCCAGAGCCCATTGAGCAGGGGGAGAGGCAGGTTGGTAGGGTGTTAAGAGGCCACAGACATAGCGGGGGAGCAAGGCTATGGAGGGTTTTGAAGGCGAGGACCAAGATCTTGAACCATATCCTTTGCGAGTTGGGAAGCCAGTGGAATCGGGTGAAGATGATGGTGATAGGGTCACCGAGCCTGGTGCGGGAAAGGACACGGGCTACCGAGTTCTGGATGATTTGCAGCCTATGGAGGGAAGAACTGGGGAGGCCAAAAAGCAGGGAGTTTGCGTAGTCAAGTTAGCTCTCATCCAGGACTTGATGTCTGATAGACATTCTGTCAGGACAGCAGTGATCCTGGAGTCAAGAGTGGAGGCAAAGAGAGTTGGGTGTCATCTGCATACACGTAGAAGTTAACTCCATGTCTGCGGATGATGGGAGCAAGAGGAAACAAAAAGATATTGAAGAAGAGACCAAGGATAGAGCCAGAAGAATGCCGCACGAGACCGTGCTAGAGGAGAAACTGTTTGTGGAGATGAAGTGGAGACGGTGTGAGAGATACAACCTGAACCATTCAAGGACAGAACCGTGAAGGTTGAGGTGTGAGGAAAGGCAGTGGAGGAGGATAGCGTGGTCAACGGTACTGAAGGCAGCGGAGAGGTCAAGGAGGACGTGGAGGCAGAGGGAGTCCTAGTCACAGCTTGGCATCTGTGGCCCCACCATTGGCGGGAGAGCCTTCAGCCACTCTGTCCCTAACCTCTGGAATTCCATCCCCCAGTCACTCTGTCTCGCCCCCTCCTTAGCCTCCTTCAAGTCCCGCCTCAAGACCCTCCTCTTCGACCATGCCATCAGCCACCCCCCTTCCCTTCCTGACCCCAGCCTGGGCCTGAAATGCTATACTCTGTCCAGTGCCTTGGGACGTCCTCCCGACGTGAAAGGCGCTAGACAAATGTAATCTTGCTGTTGTTATCATCAATTTGACCAAAGCTGTTTCTGTGCTGTGGGCAGCACGAAAACACGATTGGAGGGGTTCATGAAGAGAATGGCGGGAGAGGAAGGAGCGAAGTAACAACTCATTCCAGGACCTTGGAAAGGAAAATAGGATGGTAGTTTGAAAGCCGGGATGGGTCCAGGAAGGTTTTTTTTATAAAAAGGATAGGAGTGATAATGGCTGTTTTTAAAAGGGTGGGAATGGTGCCAGTGGACAGGGAGAGGTTTCTGATGTCTGTGAGTAGTGGGGCAAGGAGGTAAACTCCTATTACAACAGTTTGCATTTTGCATTGCATGTGAAGAAGTATCTGAGTTTAGATTAAATAGACAAATACAAATGAAGGAGTGTTCCAGTTTGCAAGGATTGTCAGCACAGTGAAGGTGGTCACAAGCATACATGTCAATAGTGCACTGTATCACTGTATTCAACTATGGTCCATGTAGAACAAAAGATGTAGATCCTGTTAAAGTGGTAAACACTGGAGCTGGACAGTTAAGTATAAGAATCCTTGCATTTGATACAGCAGCTTACCACATCATTGAGACACTTCACAGGATTTTGCAGACAATGCAGCAACCAATTTGCAAACAGCAATTTACAAACAACTATAAAGTGACTGGTTTTATCTGGGGTTTAAAGATCACATGGCATTATTCGATAAGGGTATTCTCTCTAATAACTGGGAGAAACACATTTCTCTTATCCTGGTCCTCACCTACAAAGCCCTCCATGGCCTCGCCCCACCCTACCTCTGCGACCTCCTAACCCCCTAGCAACCCACCCGCTCAGCCGGCTCTGGCCTGCTCCACGTCCCCCGACCCACCCGTCCCACCATTGGCGGGAGAGCCTTAAGCCGCTCTGCCCCCAACCTCTGGGATTCCAACCCCCAATCACTCCACCTTGACCCCTCCTTAGCCTCCTTCAAGTCCCTGCCTCAAGACCCTCCTCTTCAACCATGCCATTAGTCACCCCCCTTCCCCCCCCCCCCCGACCCCAGCTCAGGTCTGAAATATTGTACACTGTCCAGCGCCTTGGGACGTCCTCCCGACGTGAAAGGCGCTGTACGAATATAACCTTGATATTGTTATCAAATAGTGATCTTCAGTGTTCACTTAAACAGGCAGACCCAGTTGAAAATCTCATTCGGGGGACCAGCACTACACTGGATGTATAAACCCAAAATCCCAATCCACATAAATTCCGACTCAGGAGGTGCGATCAACTGAGCCCAAGTGATTCAGAAATAATCTACAATAAGATGAGAAACTGATGCGTTTGCTGACCATCCACAAGTAAAAATGCTCAACACTTTTGAGAGCATGTCCTTTCCTTCGTACGTATTGCACATCGCAGCATCTCCCGCGAACCTGCAAGGCATTGCACTAACATACACACACAGTACGAGCGAGACAAGCTACAGCAATACGAATCTTGTCAGGTAATGCTGTTGATGGCAAACTGTGCAACTTCAGCACTACCAACACAATGTCTCGCCCATCCTCACCAACACTCCCGAAACGGGTCAACAGACTGCGTCCCTCACAGGGAGACAACGCACACTCCAGTGCACACAGGGAAACTTTTACGTGCAGGTAACAGTTGTGTGGCCCCCCCCCCACACCCAGCGCCCCCCACCCCAGTGCTCCCCCACCCAACATCCCCCACCCCCAGTGCCCCCCCACCCAACATCCCCCACCCCCAGCCAACAGCGACCCCCCCCACCCACAGCCAACAGCGCCCCCTCAACATCCCCCTCCCCCAGCCAACAGCCCTCCCCCACCCAACGGTGCCCCCCAACATCCCCCACCCAACGGCACCCCTTTCCACACACCCCACCCAACTGCGTCTCTCTCGCTCCCCCCCCCCACAGTCCGTCTCTCTCGCCCCCCCCACACAGTCCGTCTCTCTCTCGCCCCCCCCCACAGTCCGTCTCTCTCTCTCTCTTGCCCCCCCCCCCACACAGTCCGTGTCGGTCTCTCTCTCTCATGTGCCTTCCCCGGGTCTCCGGCTGTGGTGCCCCGCGCGGTGCCTGCGCCCCCGGCGGCGGCGTGTGACTTGCGCTCAGGCAGTTGGCGGAGCTACTAATGGGGGGTGGGGGGGGATGGGGGGGGGTGGACTGAGGCCCCGCTCCGTCCGTCAGGCCGCCTCGGCCTCGCCTCCCGCGCTCCTCCACAACCCGCGCCGCCCAAGCGCCTCGGATTCCTTACCTCCCACTCGGCCGGCTCAGAGGGGCAAAAACCCCGGTCACCCGGGCCACGCGGCCCCGCGCGGGTCAGAGACAAACCTACACAAATAACACGGCAATCTTGACAGACGCCATCTCGCCTCCCAGGACGCCTCACCGCCCGGGCCTCCTTTTGTACCCATCAGCGCTAGGACCGGCTCGCCGACCTGTCGCGGGGGGTGGCGGGTTTGAGTGAACCGACTGGGGGACGGAGGCCTCCCGGTGCCCCCTCCACCCACCCACCGAGACTTTGCAGCGCGCCCGTTCGGAAGGGCGCCCGCGGCGGCGGCGCTGAACGGAGGCGGACGGCGGCACTGCTTTTTCTCCGCGCGGACGCGGACAGCTCCGGGGAGTGCGTGCGGAGTGACGCGTCACCTTCCATCATCATCACCGCCGACGCCCCTCCCCTCCACCCGGGTTACGTCCTCCTTGCGTCTGACTTCGGGCCGACGTTCGCGGGCGTCTGACGTCACGCGCGGTGGTGGTGGTGGGGGGTGTCCCCTGAGCACGTGATCCTGTCTGTTACCAGGTGGGGGATTCCCTCTCAGTGGCTCAGTTGGTTGGTCTCCTTCAGCCCCAATGGAGGTCATCTCCAGAGCGCCCGCCCCGCCCTACCCGCCCCGCCCGCCCTACCCACCCGCCCTACCCGCCCCGCCCGCCCTACCCACCCGCCCCGCCCGCCCTACCCACCCGCCCTACCCGCCCCGCCCTACCCACCCGCCCTACCCGCCCCGCCCGCCCTACCCGCCCATCGCAGTGCCAAGCGCCACCTTCCACCCAGTCCGACTTATCCGAGACTGTACCCGCCCGCTCTGTCGGTGGACCTCTCCCAACGACGACCACCACAAGATTACGTTTTGCTTAGCGCCTTTTCACGTCGGGAGGACGTTCCGGGTAAACGCAGGCGCGTGGAGCAAGGAAACTCGCCCAGCGTTTCGCTGCGCCTGGAGTGCTCCCAACCAATATGCCTCGGGACGTATTGGGTTTTACTCCCCGGGGCTGTATCGTGTTAAAATATTAAGAATTCAGCACTTCAACATTGTGCTTGATGCTGTGATGGAGTGGGCAGGTCGGAGAGGTTTGGTTTTATATCTCGTGTCTCAATTTGTGTGTTTGTTTGCAGGTATTTGCCTCTATGTGTAGGTGTGTCTATCTCCAGTGTGCCTCTAATTGGTTATGTCCATGGGCTTGTCTTGTGTCTGATTTTGCATCTTGTCTTTGCGTCTGTAATTAGTTACATTTGTGCATTCCCATTACAACGCCCAATGCATTGTGAATTTCCACATTTCTATAGGAGCCATCTTTATACATCTGGAGTCCTGTAGCATATTGGTTAGAGCACTCTCCCCACACACAAAAGGACCTCGGTTTAATTCCCAGGCAGGGCGAAATGTTAGGCAAGTTTCCACATGCCTCTGTTCACCTGGCAGTAAGCAGGGACCCAATTGTTAAGTCGATTGGTGGATCGCTTTTCCGGGGGAAATAATTCTTTCAACAAAAAAATTTGGTGACTCAATCCATGGTGTGGATTGTTTGTGAGACACTGCTGTGAGCAATTGGCTGCCGAGTTTCACCCACAAGTTACACAGTCAATTCACTTGACACTATATTTTGTGAAGCCTTTTGAGATCTTGATAAATGCAAGGATTATATTTTTAGTGAGACATAATGTTCGATGCTGAAGTCTTAATATTTTGTGTTGCAATTGCCTATAAATGCACAGTTACTACATTTTACAGTTATATCTAGTGAAGCACTTTAAGGTGTTTCGACAAAGTGATAAAACACTATATCAAATGCAAGGAATATTTCCTCCAGGATAAGAATTGAGCTTGCCCAGGCTTACTGCACATTCATACAGATAACAGAAAGAGGAGACTGATACCTCTGAGTTTTCTTGGGCAATGGGCAAGTTTTCTTACTCCACAGGCCTCTGTTTACCTGCAGTAAGTAGGAACCCAGTTGTTCGTCAATTGGCAGATCGCTTCTCCGTGGATACTAATCTCTTCGAAAAAAAATTTTAAAAACGTTTGTCACTCAATCCACGACTTTGTGGGACACTGCTGTATACAATTGGCTGCTGCATTTTGCCCACAAAATATAGTCAATTTCCTTTACAGTATATTCTGTGAAGCGCTTTGAAACATCTCGAAGACTTGATAAGGCACTATATCAAATACAAGTTTCATTACCATCATTATTTTAACCATCAATTGACTTACATCATTTACATCATTACATACATATCTTCATTACATCGAGGCTCGACAATGCAAACTCACTGCTTGTCGGCCTCCCCAACTCCTCCCTCCACAGGCTGCAGATCATCCAGAACTCTGCAGCCCGTGTCCTCTCCTGCACTAGGCTCCGCGACCCTATCACCCCCATCCTTACCCAACTCCACTGGCTTCCCATCATAGAGGATACAGTTCAAGAACCTGGTCCTCACCTTCAAAGCCCTCCACGGCCTTGCTCCCCCCTACCTCACTGACCTCCAAATCCCCTACCACTCTGTTTGCTCCCTCCGCTCGGCGAGCTCCAGTCTGCTTCACGTCCCCCGCCTTGCTCACTCCACTATTGGCGGGCGGGCCTTCCGTCACTCTGCACCCACCCTCTGGAACTCCATCCCGTAGACCCTCCGTCTCACCCCCTCCCTCGCAACATTCAAGATCCACCTCAAGGCCCTCCTCTTCGACTGTGCTTTTGATCTCCCTGCTTTCCGCCTGCCCTCCACCCCTCCCATCCCGACCCCCAGTTCTGGTCCGTAATTCTGTCCAACACCTTGAGATGTCCTCCCAACGTGAAAGGCGCTATACAAATGAAATGTTGTTGTTGTTTTAAATCTGGAGTGTCCCAGAGGTGAGAGAATAGATTAGCATTATATGCATTGTACCGCAATAGTCATTGCAAGAGAGAAACATATGAACAAAGTTGTGTGGTAGGGATAACTTCTATGTGAAAACATTGTTACACGATTCACACAATGATCAGCCTGAAAACATTTTATGAAATACAGAAAGCAATTTATTATATGAAAAAGTTTCCAACATGAATTCTTATTAAAAAATAATTTAGCTTCAGTTATAACGGTTATATTATCTGAGCTTTACCAAACACTGATGTACTTAAGTCAATTGTTAACCAAAACTTGGTATTTGCAAGTTCTTCATTCGATGATTGCTGCTGTGGCTAGGAACACTGATGGCAAAAAAGAACAAATCATGAAATCTCAGAAAATATTCTCTTCACATATTCACACAGAGGGGTGTGATAATGTGAACCTTCAGAAAAGATTGTAAAGGCAGACTCAATGAAATGTTTAAAAGGATGCTTGAGAAGTAAGGGTGTGGCGAAAAGGCAGGGATGTAGGATTAAAAGATCTGCCGTTATCTGATGAATTGGCTGTATGGACTCAATGGGCTCAATTATCTCCTTCTATTCCTCTGATCCTAATGTGGCAGTTTAATCACCCGTGATATGTACATGAATTTGGCTTATGCTCGAGTCAAAAGTGTTGCTATAAAGGCAAGAAGCACTTGTTCGGAAGATAATATTGGTATTGGCAGTCCTGACTTATGGACAGAGATGAGTCGTAGGCAAAAGTAAAGGGAAGAGAAATTGGCCAGATTGCATAATTCGATAACAAGCGCTAGTTCATTAAAGATTTGGAGGTCCAACTAATCGAGAAAGATTTAATTTAGCTCGTTCCACAAGCTTTTTGCTGGGCAGATTTTGGTTGCCATCTGTTCACGCTTAGTGTCAACTTTGGCCTGATATTACGATTCTTTAACATGACTGGTTTTCCAACATATTTGTCCATTACACCGGTCAACAGCTGGAGCTTTGCGTCAGAAAACTGGAACAGACCTGATAAAATATATTGTTCCCGAATAGAAAAAGAAAACTAAGAATAAATACTAAAGTTTGATTAAGACATAAAATATAGCCGTGGTTGGACTTTTTTAAAAAAAGTTTCCGGTTGGGTATCTTTATGCTGCTCTTGAGCAATGAATGTAAATCCACTTCAAGCTGTGACTTTCTATAAAGCTCATGAAATTTCACTCAGTATCAGAATAAGCAAAGTATTGCAGTGACAATCACAGTGCATCTTATACACTTGATTAGATTGGCTTCACATTTATATCTTACCTGGCATTTGTGACATACTATCATTCACACATAAAGAGAGCATTACATATCAATCTAGATTTACACTGTCCAGCAGGCACTTTGATTCAACCCGAATAAAGGTTGACACTAATGGAAGAGTTGACATAGTGATGATGGAAGAGTCAACTCATGCATCTATTACAAGTAACACATGCAATTTATAATTAATTCTTTAATTTCTTTGCTCATTCAATTTACCTGGTGGTAATGGGGCGGGGGGAAGGGGATAGTGCAGTCCCACCCTAATCCCTTCATTTGAGTAGATTCACCATCCAAGGCAAATCTTCAAACAACAAACCGAAGTCCCAGGTAAAATGTGAACACAAAAATTCAGGGATTGCATGTATTGCTTTTGATGTTGAAAGCGTAATGGAATATTTGAATTAAACAGAATAAATTAAATACATTCCTTCTTCCAGAGAATTCTGATGCTAAGACGGAGAATTTATTCCTTGCATTTCAACAAATCGCGGTTGACGTAACCCACAAATTCAATTTGACGATTATGGTTCATCTTCCAGAAAACGCCATTATGCACAAAGTTGTAATACCCTGAAAGAGAACGAATTGGAAAGAATGTTAAGTAACCCGTCTACAAAAGATACACAGTCACTACAATCTGCAGTAAAAGCTGTGAAGCGCTTTGAGTCATTGACGACTCAGGCACTAAATCAAATGCAAGATTATTATGTACAGTATTACACGTGAACGTTTATCAATTTGCTCTTTCCATTATATTGTATAACATCATTGGAGTCCATCATAGTGTGTTGATTGTAAGCCCGGAATTCTTTTTGTTACTTGTCTAGAATATGATTCTAGTAGTCAGATCCCATTAATTATTTGATGTCCAAAAGTAATTTGTGCTGATGAACTTACCTTTGTGTGTAAAGATATTATTGGCATCAATAGGCACCCCAGCAAAATAGTAATCAATGTAATTGGTGAAGCTCTTCTCAATCGTCTGCGTCTTCAGGTTGAGTCTGAATCCAAGTTAAAGAAGTTGAATAAGTTAATCTGTTCTGTGCGTAAGTAGCAAGCATGGAATTTAAACAAATATAAATTAAAATGTATTAATAAGCATTTATAGAGGCTAAAAATTGAACGTAAATCTACATTTATTTATTTGTTAAGATATTTGGCTGCAGTTGATGGAAAATGGGAAGTTTTCAGACAGCACTTGGGAATTGAAAGTCAATGGAGGTATTTTAAGGAAGGGTGTTGCAAAGAGCCAGCTTTAGGATGATTTTGCTGAGCACTTTGCTGACAACTGGAACAGACTCGGTAGCCCAGTTGCCTCCTATGCTGTATGCTGTTATTGTAAATCAAGGGGGTAAAAGAGATTTCAAACTAGACTGCAGCGATGAACATGTACTGTAGTACGATATATTTATTTGTGTATCTAAGTAATTTTACTTGACAGATAGTCGCCCTCAAACTTACCTCCAAACCTTGGTTCCACCAAACAGCAAAACTTTATATTTGGCTTTCATAATAGCACCCACTATATGCTTAACATCGTCGCCAATGCCCAGTTTGTAGATGTTCTTGGGATAGCCTTGCTCAAGAGTCTTGCCAGAGAATATATAGTAAGATTCCCCTGTGAAGAAAAAGGAATCATTCAGTTGGAATTCAGTTGTCAGCAAGAGAGTTTTAGTTTGTTTTATTACTTTTCCCGATCCAATATCCTCCAACCACCTCAGTGAGTGAGTAGTAAATATATAGAACAGGCTCCTTTGCGAGATGGTGGGAATGGAAAGTGTTGATTCTTACAAAAACAAATGAGATAGATTTCTTTAGGAAATAATACCTTGGGCTGTAGCATATAATAATAATAATAATAATCCTTGCATTTGATATAGCGCTTTTCACGTCGGGAGGACGTCCCAAAGCGCTTCACAGAACACACTGTAAAGTGAATTGACTGTATATTTGTGGGCGAACGCGGCAGCCCATTGCGCACAGCAATGTCTCACAAACAGTCGTAGATTGAAAATGACCAATTTAATTATTGTTTTTGGTTTTTTGGAGGGATTATTATTAGGCTCTGTGTGGAGTAAGGAAACTTGCCCAAGGTTTTGCCCTCTGCCTGGAATTGAACTTAGGTCTCTCACTTGCAAAGCGAGTGCTCTAACCACTGAGCTACAGGACTCCACTCCATATAGCTTGGGACATGACATGTGCATGCGACTGCCAGGACGGTGGAAGACGAACTGGATGGACCTTAATCTTCTTACATCGAGCAATTCTTATGTTCTTATGAAGGTGCTCATTCATGCAGGTTGGGTTTCACAGTTGTCGGCTGCCATTTGGTACCTCACCAAGTGATTGTCCTTTATGTGTGAGGACTGACAGTGAGTGTCGGTAAGAAGTGGAGTAGTCGCAGGCATGAAAGGAGCTGATCATCTCCAAACCCGACCCTTACACAAAGGCACTAGCCAACTGGGGTCATTGAACAATGACCAGGACTAACTAGGAAACCTGACTGATTTTCCTCAGTTGAAGAAACGCTGAAGGCAATGTCGTGCTCTACTGATACCCAGCCTTCGACCAGAGAGCTGTGGGGCCTTTTTATGAGCTGGACTAACAGGAAAAGCAAACTTGGAATCTCCTGATAATGATGTCTGAATAGCTGCTTGAAAATAGTCATCGAGAAATCAATCATTCAATCAATCAATAAATAAATAAATGACAAACCTGAGAAAATGTAGACCTTTTGGGTTCTTTTATCTTGAAAAGCAGAGTCGATTTTGGAGGGAGCCTTAGGCCACAGTTTTGTAACTGGCTCAGGTCCTGTGACAAGTTGTTTGTTTGACGCAAACTTCCAGACTTTTCTGGAAAATGTGAAGCAAAAGATTAACAGTTACTTTTATCTCAGCTATTTTCACTGTACTTTGTCGTCAAGTGTCGAGTTAGGCATGACAGCATGATGAGTTAAAGTGGTAGTGACATGTTAAGCCAGGGTTGAGCTATCAGGAGATTACTGTATTTATAATTACATATTTATGATATATTTATAGCATATTTCTGATCGAAAATATATTGGAAAAATCTTTGTGACGTGGGGCCAGGTTGTGGGGGTGTGGGAGCTAAAGCTAAAGGTAAGGGTAGCAGCGATCTTGATTTTAGGCTACAGAATGAGGGTAGCCATCCTTCGCACATTTACCCTTTCATTTTTACCTAATAACTAATATTCCTGAGAGGAGGGAAATCCTCCCGTGTTCTTAAAAACAGATTCCTGCTTTACACAATAATTATTTTCCAAGATAATAATAATAATCCTTGCATTTGGTATACCGCCATTTCACGTCAAGTGGACGTCTCAATTTGATTCACAGAGTGTACCGCAAAGTGTAGTGACTGTGTATTTTGTAGGTGTTTGGAGGATGATAATAATAATAATCTTAGCATTTGATATAGTCATTTGATAAATCCCTATATCAAATAATAATGTATTTGATAAAGTACTTCACAGAATATGCTGTGATGTGAATCTACTGTTGTATTTTGTGGGCCAAACACATCAGTGTCCCACACACAGTCATGGATTGAGTGACCAAATTATTATTTTTATATATATTTTGGAAGGGATTATTACCCCCGGAAAGTAATCCACCAAGCGACTAACAACCGGGTTCCTACTTGCTGCTAGGTAAACTGAGGTGTGTGGAGTAAGAAAAACTGCCTAATGTTTCACCCTGCCCAGGAATCGAACCCGGGTCTGCTCGCTTGCGAGGCGAGTGCTCCAACCACGAAACTACAAGACTCCAACAGGATTCCAGGATTCAGAAGCAAATCCATCACCACTTACCCATTTTTGAAGAAGTGAAGTTGTCCTTTAATTTCTGCAATGGCATCGAAAGTGTCCACGCTGCAGATGTCAGAACCTGTCGCTTCAGTGGTCGTTGTTATACTCGGTCGGGCTGTTGTGATCTCTGGTGTGCCAATGGTGGGCAAGGCTGGGGAACCTGGATTTGGTCCTGCATTGAAAATAAACCAACCTGAGCTCAAAGATACCCTTACACACTGGGAAAATAATATATTGGGACATTGTTTGACTACTGCTACTACACAAATGCTTCAATAAAATGCATTTTGGCTATTGTGTATCTATTATTAAAATGATTATAATAATAATTATCCTTGCATTCGCACCTTATCACATCGTTGAGATGTCTCAAAGCGCTACAAAGAATATACTGTAAATTGAATATATATTCACTTATGTATAACGTGACTGTATATTTTTTGTGGGCGAAACGCAGCAGCCAATTGCGCACAGCAGTGTGCCACGAACAGTTGTGGATTGAGCGACCATATTATTATTATATATTCGTAGGGATTATTCCCCCTGGAAAAGCAATCCAACAATCAACTAACAACCAGGTTCCCACTTACTGTTAGGTAAACAGAAGTGTGTGGAGTAAGGAAGCTTGCCTAATGTTTCACCCTGCCCGGGAATCGAACCCCAGTCCTTTCGCTTGCTACAGGACTCCATAAAATTATTAGAGAAAACAATAATTAAACTAATTGGACCTACCGTACAGATATTGGATTCCTTCAATATCATCGCGGTGCAATGGAAAGTCTACGTATTTGTACATGGGGTACATGAGGGCTTCTCTGAGGGTGGAATGATCTAGCCCCAAGCTGTGTCCAAACTCATGGGCTGCCACCAGAAACAAGCTGTAACCTACACACCCAGCAGATACAAGTTGTTTAGTCGTTAAACATTACACATCCAGCACAGATTTCTAGAACAGCACATTCCTTCCAAAAAGTTCAATATACTGTAGTGTATTGGTAGGAATGATCAAGACAGGGATTTCAACCTGTAACCTTGCCACTGTGACATTGTGAATCAGGGACCTGATATTTCTCAGGGTCTTAGCCTTAAGACAATTGTCTTAAAATGTAACATCATGCAGAATTTTGAAAACAAAAATCTCAAATTCAGTCTCAAAGAACTGTTGAAAACTGTCTTGCAAATGAAGATTGAATTTAAGCACTTTCCAAAATTCTGCACAATCATCAGGCTCCAGTCTGGTGTTAATTACTCTTGAATATCATGGATCTGCACAGTAAACCCCAGTTAAAAAAATAAACCAATTACCAATATTAGGGCAGAAACCCCACTTTTTTTCTTTGTTGAAATCACTGGTGGTAGAACACCAAAGCTTTTTGTCAGCTCTACCATCGGTGGTGCATTCACTGTACGTTTTACCATAGAACGTGAAGGGGAACTTGCACTGTTCCCCATCTGCATTTCCACCGACCACAGCGTTGCCTGAAAGAAAGCAGATGGGTGTCGTGTTAAGTCAAATTGTCTCGCTACTGAGCAAAACAGCCATTCAAACCGCCTTAAAAAATTAATGCGCTTTTTTCTGTTCTTTTGTGTAATACACAGTCAATCCACTTTACAATATATTCTGTGAAGCGCTCTGAGATGTCTCAGTGGTGTGATAAGGCACTATATTAAAAGCAAGGCTTATTATTATTTTTAGGCGCTATATAAATGTAAATTTGTATTGTATTTCATTGTATTCTCTTTTTCCAATTTTCTCCCGCTTTCCCTAAAGGTGCTACATTATGCTTCCATGGGCACTGCGCAGGACTGTAGCATATTAGTTAGAGCACTTGCACATCCTGCTCCTCATTCAAGCCTGAGTGTCCGCAGGGCAATTTGACTGTGGAGCACCCGTTGATCACTTGACATCCACACATCCAGCCAGCAGTGGTATCGAGACAGGGATCAGGAACTGGAAGTTGCTCTGCCTGATTTTCCACAGTCCTTTGCCAGTGGCCGATTATATGAAGCTGATTATAGGTGTCGTGTGGCCAGATATCAGCTAACTCAGCCCAAGACAGGAATTGAACCTAACGCCTTTCCAGGCTGTATGGTTCAATTTTGAATCCAGATGTGTTTCACATTTCATTTGATCGAGCAACTTGCTAACTATAATAATCTTTGCCTTTGTTATTGCGTCTCAACGCAACTCACAATTTTTACTGTTAAGTGCAGTAACTGTATTTTTAGGCGAACATGGCAACCAATGAGCTGCAAAACAACCTGGAAGTGAATGCCCATTTTATCTGGAAGTCTGTTTGGCCGAGACACAGGGAGAAAAGTCCCAATCCTTTCTATAATTATATTCTGACAATTTTTTAAAAATTCTGACAAAGGCTTATATCTAAAGTGTTAAAATAAACTTTCGATTTTCTAAACCTAATTACCTGCATTTGGACAAAACCCATATTTTTTATCAATGTCGAAATTGCTGGTTGTTGCACACCACCTATAACCATCACTGCGTCCCTCAGAAGTGCAGCTCTCATATGTTTTCCCATCGAATACAAAGGGGAACACACAGGGTTTGTCTTCACTGTTACCATCAATGGTGAACAAACCTGAAAGGAACACAATTGAAATGAATGCGATTCATAAAACCTTAAGATTCAAACACGAATCACGAAAGAGAGGGCATAACAAAGCTCCGAATACGAAAAGCAAGGAGTACAACATTTATCATGGTCTTAGCTTCACCATTAACCTTAACCTCACTGTTTTATCCTCATTGGTTTAAAATGTAAGATCTCGCAGAATTTTTTTAAAAATCTTAGAATTTAGCCTGAATTCACAACATTTTAAGAACTGTGGAAACCCGCTTCCAAATTACGACAGTTTAAACATTTTTCAAATTTACGCATGATTTTAAATTTTAAGAAACTTATCGTAAAGCCAAGACCATGAGAATTATGGAGCCTAGAACCAACTCTACCCAAACCTACTCCTCAATACACTCTGCCCACCCAATCTCCTCAGGGCATTTCTGCTTGAGTGCCTCAAGCCAAAGGTAATCAAGTCAAGTTACCAGGGTATGTTTGCGAGATAGTCCAGCTAGGATAGAGGTGGTTTATTATACTGATGAAGTAATCATGTTGAGACTAACAAAGGAACAGGAGTAGGCTATTCAGCCCCTCAAGCCTGTTCGGTCATTCTATCAGATCATGGCTGATCTGTACCTCAACTCCAATTACTGTCTTACTCAGTAATGTAAAACAAAATATTGATGGAGGCAAGTGTGACTTGCCCTGACCTCTGGGATAGCCTATACAGCTTAGGATCATTGCTGGCCTGGAGAGCAGAACTAAGAGATTAACCATCCCAGATAAACAGTGATGGCCACCGCACTCAGAGGCAGAAGGATTGAATGTCTTGCGACTGTCTCTAGAGGTGGGATGACGCCCAATTTTTGAACAACAGCTTCTCATTGACAACGATGATTTTGCAGTTTTTTTTTAACTCAAATCCTACTTGAAATGAATACTGGTTAATTCAAACCATTTCACACCAGGCGAATTCATCAGATGGCTGCAACTGATCTGTACGTGTCTCAACATAAATGTATGGAACAGACTCTCTAGGGAGATGGTAGAAGCAGAAAGTGTCGATTCTTTGAAAAACAAATGAGGTAGATTTCTTTCAAGAAATAATATCGTGGGATATAGTACATAGTTTGGGTCCCAAAATGGTCATGCCGGGATAGTGGAAGGTGAACAGGATGGACCTTGGTCTACTTTCATCCAGCAATTGTGTTCTTATGTTCAGTTGAAATTACGTAAAGGCCTAAATTCACAATCTGTCCACAATATAAGGTGCTTTCTTAAGTGGAAGATAGCAAAAGCTGTTCGCCTATCACGCAAAACGGGAAGGGAAGAAAAATGCCTTACGTCCATCTGGGCAGAATCCATATTTCTTATCTTTGTCGAAGTCTGCAGTGGTGGCACACCAGAGAGAGTTATCATCCCGCCCGTCTGTGGTACAGGCCTTGTATGTTTTTCCCTCGTAAATGAATGGGAAGTGGCAGGAGTCTCCATTGGCATTGCCGAACTGAGTTTTAACCACTGTTGAGAGGTCAAAGGGATGATATTTTAGTAACAGAATTGAAGGAGGTACAGGAACAGTCCAACAGAGTTGCATTATCTTTTCTAACAGTGAAGTCATCAGAAGCCTGAATCACAAATTGTACTTCAGATAAAGAATCACATATATAGAGTCATTTTCTTTTGGTTCAGCCAAATATCTGATACATGTGGACACCCATCAACGTGTTTAAGGGTATCCAAACTAAACCGAGAATTCCATATATCCCACCTACACATGGAAATTCCAGAGATAGATTAATCTTCTCAAAACAGTCATTTATTATAATAATCCTTGCTTTTGATATATCGCATTATTATGTTGTTAAGACATCTCAACGCGCTTCACAAGGTATACTATAAAGTGAATTGACTACGTATTTTATGGGCAGAAAAATTAAAATGCCATGTAGTGTAAAATGGGCATAAATTGCCAATTGAAAGAAATGCAACATGCAGTGAGATCAATGAGAGAGCGCGTTACATTTGTTATAACGTTTGCATAAGGTCGTTCAAAGGAAATATTCTTAGGTTAATTGGGCTCAATGTTGAATACCTGCTCCTTTTCCCAGAGTCCAGAATTCATCATCGTCAAAGTGGGCGTCACCGTGGAGATCGCCATAAAGATCTTTGCCGGGAGGGTAGGCATGTGCCAGCAGACCATCATTGCCATCAAACGGATAGGGATCTCCATGCCCTTCAACAACAAACAGATTGAAATCATTAGCCACAAGGTCTATTATATACTGTGCGCAAACCATGTATAACCCAACCGCAAACCAGTGTATCATGTGCTATGTGCAAATTATTTGGGAGAAATTCTATCTGGGTCCTGGTGATTTACTTCTTTTCTTTGCATTTTTCGCCAACAAAATACACAGTGGAGCGGTGGAGCGGACCCAACAAAGGCTGGAGGTAGCTGAACGAAGGCAGTGGGTGGAGGGAACGGTCAGAATGAAGGTAAATCACCGCAAATTAAATCATCAAACAAGACTAATTCATTCTACAGGTAGTGTCCTGTCTACTCACACGTCCTGCCAAACTGAATCAGGATGTCTGCGTCATTACTGTAGATCCTTTTGAACGTCAATGGAGTAACGTCACTCCAGACTTTGAACGCACGAGCAAAAGCATCGTCAACGACTGACGGAACCATATCAGGAGTGTGGTTAACAATACTGTTTGATGGGAGGAAACGAAAATTAGACAAACAGTAATTATAACCCCAAAAGTCAGCAAAACCACTACTGTATTGTGTCTTAACCACAACGTGCATTTAATTGCAAGTTGCTGTTAAATAGAATATTTGATAAATTAGCACATTTATCCCTCTCCATAGAATAACGTCTCGGAGCACTTCACAATGACGGACGGGGTTGGATGCAAAGCAACAAAGAAGGAAGAAGAGGAGTAGGAAAGGAGAAAGTAACAATAGGCACTTCAAAGAGGTACATTTAAGGAGTAGTTTAATAATAAGCCTTGCATTTGATGTAGCACCTTATCACATCTTCGAGACATCTCAAAGCACTTCACAGAAATACTACAAAGTGGATTCACTGTGTATTTTGTGGGCGAAGTAATGACATAGAGAGAGGGAGTTCCAGAGGTGGGGGGTGGGGGGCAGGGGGGTGAAGGGTGGGGGGGTGTTGTGTGGCTAGTAGCAAGAAGAAGCTGCTAAGATTGTGAAGCTAAGATTGTGAGTGGCTGTGTGCCAGATGTACCCTAAATACTGGTGCATAAGTTGCACTACAATACTGGGCTGTCTTAAAAAAAAACTGCCCCCAAACTTTCCAAACATATTGAATTTTTCTTGAATAAATGCTACATGTATGAGCTGGGGGAAAAAAAGCTAAAGTTATGAAATTTGATTGAAACTGTCAACAAGGTTAATTAACCTGTGAATTAATAATAATAACAAAAGTAATGATCCTTGCGTTTGATACAGCGCCTTATCACGCCATTGAGATGTCTCAAAGGGCTTCACGGAACAAACTGCAAAATGAATTGACTGTGTACTTTGGGGTGAATTGCAGAACTTCAGTTTAATGGTAATCTGGACCCTCCTTTGAAACAAAACAACTCACCACAAGGTGGCCAGTGTTGTGTGTTAATGTGAATGTTGTGGTGCTGTGTGTGTTAATGTTAGCGGTGCATTAACAGTGCATGACTCACTAGTAGGTCAGGTCAGTGTGATCCCACTTCTCGTCGTCGAACGTCTTGTAACTGCGGACGTCTGGGACGCCACACCGTGGTTTTTTCATGGCATTGATGGTTTTGCTATCGAGCTGCCCAGATTCAGGAATTCCCAGGCTGTGCTGCATCTTCAAGATTGCACCTTTCAGGCTAACAATCGCGTTTTCATTGTTTTTGAGATTTATGTATCCAAATTTGTTCAGGTACTCCTGTGCAACAATGAAACCCAAAAGATTCAGCCACCCGTTTGGGTTCTTAGCTATTGATATCAGGTATTAGTGCAAGCGCTAACAGTTAGTTATAGTTACAGCACTGAAACAAAACCTAGATAACAAAAGCTGTGAATGTTTTCTATGGCAAGCTATACAATTTTAGCTGATTAAACTCCCACAGTAACTCCACACACACTCTGGGATTCCCAAGCCTTGGCTTTTGTCAACCTGCGCCTAATACTCTCCAGAATTAGGTAAGCAGGTTGCGTCCCCCCAGGGTGCTTATTTCTTTCCAGACACGGAGAAGATTTCCATGTGTAGGTGATATACCTACGTGTAAATCTCAGTCTAGTTTGGATACTTTTAAGCACGGTGATGGGTTTCTGCATCTGTCAAGCACCCAACCGACTAAAACAAAATAGTTGCAATAATCTCATTGTATGAAGTGCCTTAAGATGTTTGGACATTTATGGCAAATGCCTCTTATTATTATGAAAGCTTTCTGAGAAAGCACCTCAGCATTTCAGACAACGAGGCTCTTAAAAATGATTGCTTCTAGGAATTTGATTTTAAAGGGGCTTCATTACTCTTGAGTTGCTCGGTGAAAATCAGCCAGTTCTCCCTCTGAAAAGCAATTTGACATCTGGGTGTGTGCGTATCCGCTGAGGACGAGATCAGATTTGGCTGCGATAGAATAGCTGTGCCTCACTTTCAAACACGCAAGAAATACAATGCTTCACCTCAAACCAAGTGCATTGTGTGTTCACAGATAGACCCTATTTTTAACCAAGACCCTATTGTCCACTCCTTTGTGTCACAGCTCTGTGCACACCAAAAGCCCCTGACTAGAGCATTAGCTGTTCATCCGGGTACTCACGTGTATCCCCACAAACAAAGAGCCTGATGACCCTCTCATTCAAGGCTCAAGGCTCACGTATGAATAAAGTCCACTTGGGCAACATAGGGAGTGACCAAATCGTAAGCAAACAATTTCAGAAGAGGAGAGGGAGAAAGTTTTCGAGAGTAAAAATGAATGGGAGCCTTGTATAGCTGCTGCAGAGCTATAATAATAATCTTTACATTTGATATGGTGTCTATAATGCCTCAAATACTCTCACAACGTTTCTGTAAAGTGTAGTGACTGTATTTGTAGGCAAATGTAGAAGCCAATTTCCACACTGCAATGCCCCAGAAACAGTTATGAACATCAGGAGAAACTCACTCCTGTCCCATTTACTGTCACAAGATCCTCAATGTTCACCTGAGAAGGCAGATGGGACCTCAGTTTAACGTGTCACCTAAAGGACGACATTTCTCTCCCACTTCTGCACTGGAGCGTTAGCCAAAACTGTGAGGTCAAAGCCCCAAACACACAACCATCTGGCTCAGAGATGAGAATGCTACTATCTGAGTCAGGTTTATATGCATAACCTACTTGTCTACAACTTGGTTATCCCCAGCTTTATTTTCTTTGTGACTTTGCCCTGCTGAGCGATCTTTTCCTCCGTGCACCCCACTCCTCTCACTTAGAATTATTTCAGTGAGCTCCCAGACCTCTAAATGCCAAGTGTTCATCACCATCAGTCTCGGAGCAAACAGGTAACATGTTAACCTCATTAGTTTTAACGTCTTAATATCAAGTATACCTGACAGCAACAGCCGAGAAGGGTGAATCAACTCAGCACAAAACAGACTAAGGAAAAGCAGCAAAAAACTTGGACTTTCATCTTACCTTTGCCAACTCAAGGTCACTGACTGACTTTTCACCGGGGAATTCGATGACAATGGAATGCTTTGGTGCACAGAAGCTGCTGTGTGCCAGAAGGGCAATGCTGAACACAGCTCCTACAAGCATCATTTTGCAGGCTTCAGGTAAAGAGTCTCCAAGTCTCTTGCTCGTGATTTGCTCTTCAGTCCTCAAGCCGGTGAAAGGATTGTATTTATACAGAGCAAGTGACATCACAGGCCTATGACTCAGTTAAAACAAAAACATTCTCCGTGATCATGATTCACAGAGATTTCCTTGGCGGGCGAGGAATCAAGGCACTAAGCCAAGAAATCTTCAAAACACTTTGACCAATGTTGCTCTTACAACATCTGAACTAATTATTACCATTCCCCTACAATTCTGCAATATTGAGAAATGGTTCTTGTGTGACAGTGACTGATCCCTTCATGTTGTAGTGACCGTGTGCATTCAGTACAGCAGGCAATAAGGGAATTAAGATCTTACATTAAACGGGAGAAACTGAGCAAGCTTTGCTGGCTTGCCACAATTCAGCACAACAACAATAACTTGCATTTATATAGCCCCCCCTCACACAGAGCAGCTTCCCAGAGCAGCAACAGCAACAACGAAATTTCATTTGTATAGCACCTTTCAGAGCACATCACTACTGATAGTTTTGCAGTAACAGTAAACACAAAGATAGAAAAATAGTTATTTTCTCCAACGGATCATGCACTAATACCTTGAGACGTGCATTTGAATACTTGGGTGGAACAGTTAACACTCCAGTCAGAGCTCTCGGCTTTCAAAGAGCTGTGACAAAAAGGAGTGGACTATAGGGTCTTGGTTAAAAACATGGTCTATATGTGGACGCACAAAGCAATTGGTTTGAAGCGAACCATTGTGTCTCTTGCATGTTTAAAAGTGACTCACCTTTTAAACGTAATCTAAAGGTTGTAAGACCATTTTTTAAAAGAACTGTTCACAAAAGTGGATCCAAGTTCCTATGCTTTGTTGTTACCCATTTCACCCACAAATATACAGTCAATTCACTTTACAGCATATTCTGTGAAGCGCTTTGAGACGTCTAGAAGACGTGAAAAGCGCAATATCAAATGCAAGGATTATTATTATTATTGTTACTGCGGCCCCTTCAGGTAGCCTGCCAACAATCAGATCACACGTGAATAGTGCCCGCTTAGTCAAGGGGGCACCAATTCAATTGTAACTCAGTAGAAGAAAAAAGTAATTCAATACAATAAAATCCTTGTATTTTATATAGCGCCTTATTACATCACTGACACCTCTCAAAGAGGTTCAAAGGAATGACTGTGACGTGTAGTGACTGTGTATTTATATTTGGCAGCCAATTTGCACACAACAGTGTCCCACAAACAGCGATGACCAATTTTATTTGGGGGATTGTTGGCTTAGATACCAGGAGAAACTCCCTTCTTTTTTTCCAATAGCGCCATGGGATCTTTAATGTTCACCTCACCAGGCACCTCCGACAATGCAGTGCACCTCCAGCACTGCATTAGGGTATCAGCCTAGACTGAGTTCAAAGTTCCAACATCTACCACCTATTGTACATCTATCAACTTATCACCTTATTGTGAATTTACCAAGATCCCGGTGTCCAGACTAGCGATCCTCCAGAGTTTGTTGCCCTTTGGTTTTTTGACAAAAGTGAAATTCTATAAAAGCTCCAGGCGGGGGCAGTACTTCCCATTGCAAAATCTCAAGCACCATCCAATATCGAAAACAATTATTGATAAAAATGATAATCCTTATATTTGATAAAGCCAAAGACAACACCACTGATAATGCCATTGTCATTTGCACCTTTAGGAACCGAGTGCGTGGGTCAAGGGGAGTGAAATTGCCCCCCCCACCCCCAACTTAAAGTAAGCAGGCTGCGGTGGGGGCATTTGACAAGCTGAATCAAAGCCCTTCACAAGATTTTACTGTGAAGCATGACTGTGTATTTGTAAGTGGACACAGAAGCCAATTTGTGCACCACAAACAACAGCCACTAAGTGAATGACCAATTTAACTGTAATTGTTGGCAAGGACACTGGGAAAGTTTCCCTTCTCTTTTCAAGTACTATTGTAGAATCTTTCACTGTTCACCTGGAATAGACAAATAAGACCTCAGTTAAACATCTCTACTGAAGATGACACCTCTGACAGTGCAGCTCCTCTCCAGCACTGCCCTGGAGTGCCAGCCTAGACTACGAGCTCAAAGTCCCAACTTGGAGTTTGAACCCACAACCTTCTCACCCACAGACAAGACTAATACTGAGAGAGGCTGACACCCATAGCAATAATGAGATGCTTTTTCATGGTTGAGTTCCTGTCTATCTATGTATCCATGTGTATGTGAGTTTGTACATCTGTGTTTGTGACAGTGTTTATGTTTGCCTAATCACATTGTTTGTTGCTGTCAGAACCTGAGGATTTCATTTTGTAATCAAAAGGTTAAAACCAGGCAAAATGAAACTTGGTTATTAAAAACTAACAGAATAAGAATGTGTCTGTGTGGCTGAAGTGTATGTATGTGTGTACATATGTGAATGTATAGAGATATATGAATTCCTGGGTGGGGCAAACCCTCGGGCAAGTTTCCTTACTCCACATGCTTCTGTTTACCTAGCAGTAAGTAGCACACTGCTGTGCGAAATTGGCTGCCATGTTTCACCCAAAAATACACAGCCAATTCAATTTACAGTATGTTTTGTGATGGGCTTTGAATCATCTCAACGATGTGATAAGGCGCTAGCCAAATACAAGGATTATTATAGATTATTATATATGTTTCACCTTCTACATCAGTGACTGCGAAATGAAACCGTGCTTTGCGGTTGTCTGTTATAGGACAGTTAAAGCGTGTCAGCCTGGCTGAGGCTCTAGCACTCATGCCTCTGGGTCAAGAATGTGGATTCAAGCCCCAAGTAAGATCTTTGAGCTTATACTGTGGGCTGACATTCCAGTGCAATGCTGGGGTGGTGCTATCTTTCGAATGAGACATTAATCCCAGGTCCTGTCTATCTATCCCAGCCAACAATCCTCCAGGTAAAATTAGTCATTCACTTCCTGGCTGTTTGCGAGACATTGGTGTTGTGAGACAACTTGGCTGGTGAGTTTGCCTACAAAATACACAGTCCTTACAGTTCAGTACAATATGATTTACATTTATGCCTTTCATGTCAGGAGGATGTATCAACTTCACAAAAACATTGAGATGCTGTAGGCGCAAAGTTATTATGCTAAAACACAAAATTGTGGGGTCATACCTCTCAAACAGACAGTGCAGTATGCATGTGCTACTTTATATTGGCATATATACATCCAATCTGTCTCAGAGTGCTTCGCCTGGTGAAGAATCTGATGACATTTGCATGATAGGTTTGTGATGCTTCTATTTTCCATATTGTACAAAGTGACAACCAGGACTGTACCTGGAATGGGAAACAACTTCTTCTGTGTCTGTCCTTCTGTGACCTGATACAGTATGGCTGTCACGACCATGTGTCATGAGACAGACTGCGGATTGACTCTATTTGTTCATTTCTGAGAAATAATTAGCTCAGCTTCATGCGAATGTAAATTTTAATTGCTGTCTGTGCAAACTGAAGCAGCAAGAGAAGCACATTTTGCTTCATTACAGACAGGAACTAAACTCAGTCATTTAAGGGAGTTTCTCCCAGTATTCTGGCCCAAAACTCCCTGCTTATTCATGAACATGGGACTTTGCTACCCACAAGTTGGCTGCCAAGTTTATCGCAATTACACAGATGCTCACAACGATTAGCTATGAATAATAACAATAAATATTCCTTGCATTTGATATTGCACATCATCATTTCAGGAAGACCTCTCAAAGGGCTTCACAGGATTTTACAATTCGTACAAAGCAGCTAATTTGTGCATGGCAATGTCCCACAAACAGCCATGACGTGAGTGACCAATTTTATCAAGGAGATTGTTTGCCAGCACAATGGGAGAAACTCCCCTTTCTTTGCAAACAGTGCCACGTGATCTTTAATGTTCACCTGAACAAGAAGACTGGACCTTGGTTTATAGTCACATCCAAATGATGGCATCTCTAACATTGTAGCACTCCCCAGCACTGCATTGTAGTGTCAAACTATTAATAATAATAATCCTTGCATTTGATATAGTGCCTTAGCATGTCGTTGAGATGTCTCAAAGTGTTTCACAGGATATAATGTAAAGTGGAATGACTGTATATTTTGTGGGTGAAACGTGGCAGCCATTTGCACACAACAATGTCCCACAAATAGCCATGGAGTGAGTGACCTTTTTTATATTTGGGGGGATTGTTGGCCAGGACACCGGGAGAAACACCCTTCGCTTTTCGAATAGTGTCTTGGGATCTTTAACATCCACCTGATGTCAATTTCTCTGCTATTACATCGCTTCTGGAAGTATTTGACTTCTTTTTTGTTTCTTTCTTTGTGGAACCCTCCAGTGGTTGACAAGTTCTTTTGAGCTCAGTCTAGAATTGAATGTTTCCTGGGTTGGGAAGGAAATTTTAATCAGAGAGGCCAAACATTGTATTTGGTTGGCATGAACTTGGGATGTTATTATGCAAAAGGATTTCAGTGAGTCTTACTGGAAGGAACTAACACCCACCACAAGATGTGGTTTAGCCGTTGCCATTTTAATTAGTTTGCGCTCAACACTATCATAGCATTTTCCTGGTATCGGCATCAAAGTCAGTTATGGTTTAGCTGGACTAATCTTGGGATAATATTTATTGGGGGTTTGTTGGCCAGGTTCTAAGAAATCTCAGTTACACAACTCACTTGATTAATCTCATGTGTATCTGATTAGATTTTTACAATCTACTCTATGTGTTCCAACATTTTCTACGATAGCCATGAGCCTCCTCTGAGATACCTTAATCAAGATGTTCTGAAAGCCTAGATTATCAATGGATGTTTATCTACAAATTCTAAAGTTCCAGTGAAAGTTTTACAGGTGAACCTTCTTAAACTTGAATTTATTGAACTGATAATAATAATCCCTGCATTTGATATAGCACCTTCTCACATCGCTATATCAAATGCAAGGATTATTATTATTTGCTAGCCTCATCTACAACTTAATATAAGATAATAAGAAAATCAGCAGCGCTTC